GACGTCTACCAAATAATGTATGTTACATGAATTTCAACCATATGCGTTAATTTGCAACCGGATTGTAAGAATGAATGTAATGAAAGATAGAATATAGTATTTGGTTTGGTTTCATATGATAAGACATTCAATAATATATGTTGGCAACTTGGCATGTAACATGAGATCGCGCGTGAAGTACAAGATACATGATAATCGTACCAAATTAAAACAAGAAAAAATACTTGTGATGTCAGATAACATACATTCTGCTTCTGCTTGTTAGTGGGGTGGGGTTGATCATGTGTTTGCCGAACAACCGTTAAATGGAATTGCATTGGAAAAAAAATGTTATGAGTAAAGTCGAGATCGATTTCTTGTAGTTTCTTATGAATAAAATAAAAAGTGAACCAAATCGAATAGGATATTCATTCGATCTTATCTGGTCCGTATCGTTTAGTTTTTAATATGTGTTTCGATAATAACTCGACTCTTATATTTCACGTATTTTTTTTAAATAAAAATTACTCGTAAATAGGAAGAAGAAAAATTAAGCCTGGCATATATATAGGTAAAAGGCATATATTTTTCTATAGCCAGCAATATTCATCCAAAAGGAATTTTTTTTGGGGCCAGGCTATGTCCCATTTCGGCCATTAATTGCTGTACGGTTTCACTTCAATCAATCTCATTCTTTCAGTCGGATATATGGTTTGTAAATTACTAAATTGGCATCATCTTCACACAACTTAATGCAATAAATATATATTGCTTAAATTAATAAATTATACATGTCCAACAACATTCGAGCTTGTTATAAGAAAATTAGTTTGGGGTTTTAAGTAGGGCTGAGAAAATATACCAAACATTTGAAAAATTATGGACCAACACAATTTGGTTTGGATCGTATACCGTTAAGAATGGTCAGGTATGGTTCATGGTTTATAACTTTGTATTATATGATGTTTTGATCTCTTGGTCTAGACCGCGGTTTACCGAACCAAATCGTGGACCCAGTCGACTTTTTCCCTATACGTGTTAGCAGCCCACTTTACCACTCTCTTGATTCCCCCAACAAGACCCAAGTCTCAACCCTAATTTTGAGAAATTCGTCCCCTCTTTCATTCACAACCACATTTCACCAGAGAGTAGAGACGGTCGTGTCTCTATAAGACATTATATTAATGTTTATGACATTATGATGCAAGTTGGGATGCTTGGACTTTTTTTTTTTTTTTTTGTTTACTGAGATTTAGGGTGACAAAATTCTTCATGCATGTTGGAGTTTATGTTATAAGGCAAAAAACAATTGTTTCAAGGTTATTGATTTGGTTTTTTTGTGTGGTTGACAATATGAGTAGAGATTGGGATGGTTATGATAAAGATTAAAGAACAAACATATGAAAACGATGAGAGCTTTTTCATTGGAAATGGGAACGGAGAGAGCGGGGGCTGGGGAGCCAAAATTTTAGGGTTTGTTGGAGGTAGAACTTTAATTTTGGAGCCAAAATTTTCGGTAGTGGAAATTTATAATTGTGGTGCTGGAGATTGCTTGTGAGAATTTATGGGAAAGCAATTTTAAGGAGCCCCAGTTTAATAATAATACATTTAAAGGTGTTCTTTTATCTTTTTGGGTCATCGCAAATCTGTATCTATGATTTATTAGGGATGCATATTTTCTTCTATTCAAATTTGCTTTTTAGAACGTGGTGGAACCGTTAATTGTTTTATGGTCCAATTTTTTTTTAATTCATCTTGATTTTTATCTCAAATTCAGAAAGACAAATTGTCACATAGTTCACGGTAGTTAATCATGTGTAACAATTAGTTACGAGAAATGAAGACTAAAAAGTTGTTAAATTAATTTTCGTAATTAGAACTATATAATCAATTACAATAATTTGTTTCTCAATTATTAGTATACTTTTTAGTATAGAGAAATTTCTTGTGAATAAAATCCCGTGACTAAATATTCATTGCATATATGAATTGTGTGTCATCTCTTAAATTTATGCATGCCAAATACACATATAAAATAGATATCACTAATCAAATATGGATTACTTACTAAGTACCATTTCAAATATTCATTGTATATATGAGTTGTGTGTCATATCTTTAATTTATGCATGCTAAACAGTAAACACCACTTCATTACGTCACTTTAATGTTTGTGGAGTTAGTTCTTCTATGTTTTTGTTTTAAACCAAATATGAGATTTACTTATTTGTGTTATGGTACACCTTTTAATTTATGGTTGTAATAGGACTATTGAATGGAGATGTTACCATAACTAGTAACTAATGTACTTTACCAACTACGATTATTCGTCGGGCAAGTTTTTAAATCATACTATTACAATAACTCAATCATCTAAAAAATACAAAATTAATTCAACACACCGACAAGTTTCATTAACTTGTATAAGTAATTATACAAGGTAGAAAGAAGTTCTCTAAAAATTGTAAAAAAAATGTTTGAAATTAGTGCAAAAATCATGTGTAAACTGTAATGAGTAAGTAACACAGTGCACGAACCCGAACAACTCGCAACCCGATCCGTTCGCAACCATCCCGACTTATAACCCGATGACCCGGAACCCGATTGGCCCGATGAACCCGATGAACCCGCAACCCGACTGACCCGCAACCCGATTAACCCGAACACGAATGACCCGTAACCTGATAAACCCAAAAATTAACTAATCCGTAACCCGATTGAACCCAACCCGAACCCGCCGAATTGACACCTATAGGTGGGAGGGTGAGCTTAACTAGGGTGATGAGTACTTTTGAAGGCACTGATGAGACTACTAAAATAGGAAGATTATCTGACAATCATGGTGAGTCACATATGGAGGAAATGATGTTGCCGCCTGTATGCAAGTTCAATAGAGATATTTATAGATTGCTAAAGACTATTAAAACTGAGGTTGAATGTTTCGTAGGCGAAATTTTTTTTTGGTTTGCTTGAGCAATACTGTTTGGTCTCCTATAAATGGACTATAGTAGTAGTTTTCTTTTTCATTGTTAGTGGTGTTTGCATGTATTCTCCTTTGTGGACTGAAAACACCTCAAATAGGTGTTATTTAGCCTCTATTCTCAAATCATTTGCATGCTAATTCACCGTGTCGAGGCCACATGTCAAGTTATTTATGTCCCATATTCGTTCATATTTGCAAAACATGCGTTTTGGCATAGGTATTATTGATATGTAGGTTTTCAAAGGGGAATCGACCCCTATTTATCGTATTTTATGGTTTCCCAAGTGTTTGTGATAAAATTCTAGGTCTTATATGCATTTAAGATTTTTAGGCAATCGATTGGAGTTCATCCGAGCACGATTGGGAAGCATATGAGCAAGAAGGGAATAAAAGGCACAGGTCACGGCTACACGTCACGGTCGAGACCAAGTTCGCAGCATGAAGATCGCGGCCGTGAACTGCAAAAGGCGACCAAGAAGAAGGCAAAAGTTTCCCCAGTTGAATAGAGGGCATGGCGTATTTTGACAGCGAAAGAAGATCACGCCCGGGACACAAAGATCGCGACCACGATCTTATGAAAGAGGCCGCAATCTCGTAATTTAAAGACGGAGTCCGAACGCATCATTTCATGCAATTCAGGGAAGTTCCAGTCAGTTCACAACCGTGACCATCGCGTCACGGCTTGACCGACCAACTTATCCATCCAAATCTTACCCAAAAAAACCTTTAACAAACAAACTTAGCTACTATCCAAATAATAAGGATTAACCCCTCGCCACAAGCCAACATGGATTATGAACAATTTCATACAACCTTTTATATATTTTCCTAATCCATTTCTTCGAATCCTCCAATAATATATAGTCGAGTTTGTCTACTTTTCTTTATTTCAAATTTTCTGCAACGAGAGTGAATATAGGAAGGACAATTTGGTCTTTACAATTAATTATTTATTTCATATAAATATGTTTATATCAGGATTTGAATCCAGGTCTCTTCAAACAAAGACAACAATCACAACCAATTCCACTAAATAAATTTGCTGTATCTTTTTGAATACAAAACATACACGAAATTAAACTCTGAGAATATGAGGACTTTTCCATCATGATTAGCAAGCCCACTTAGTTTACCGTATGTAGTATTCAATTTAAATATAAATTTTGTGCTTTTTTATCTTTGTTCTTATCTCTTTCTAACTTTCTCCGAAATTCTCTACAACGTGCAATAGTTTGCGCCCCTTTCACTTGCCAGTACAAGGCCGTCTTTGAAAATTAATCTTCCGATATGTCTTGGCACTACGATTTAATTGTTGGGGATTTGAGCTGGGCAAGTAGAAGATGTCAACTCTGATATCAATCCGAACAAAATCGAGTTCAACAAATGGAGTTGCAGAAGGAGGATTAGAAATTGATTTTTTGGTTGAAACATATGCCACCTCTTGAAATTGATGATAGAGTGGATAAAAATTTGGTTGTACGACAAAGAGTGATGGCTATTGGATCTTAAGGTTTCTGATTTTTGCATCTATCACAACCTATTTCTATCTTAAAACGAGGAATCATTGATGGATTGATTTACTGAAGGAGCTCGATGCAACCTACTGGAACTGATAGATAAGGAGTATCTAATTTTGTGTCTTATTACTTTGATCGAGTCTGTTTGTATATTGGAGGTAACCCTAATTATTCGTTTGCTCTCAAGTTTTGATGGTCCTCTTAGCTGAGTTGTTAGTATATAGTTGACTTGAATCATCAACTCTCAATTTCTTTTTTGTTAGTGGCATATTTTTCCGAAAATGAGAGCATTTTTTAATCAATATACGATTATCTTTTGTAAAAAAATCCCTTATGTAGGATTGTGAGGTTGATTTCTACATGTCGTGTGAGCTTTTATACTCTATCTTTCTTAACGGGGGCTTTATTATCACTATGAAAATGGGATCAATGATACATTTTCATATTTCATATTCTTAAATGATTGTGATGTTTCTCCGAATTTTCGACCTATATATTCTTTCTTTATATATCATTTCGTTCGAAGAATTGTCAATAAAATTAAACAGATTGATAGACTTAAACGTAACATAAAAATCTAAATAATCAAATATGAACATTCCGGCCAACCGGCCGGGTTATAAGCTAGTAAGATAAAGAATGACAAAAGACCAGAACTGGAGAAACTAGTCTCTGATTTCGGCTCATCTGAGGCTGTCTTGGCCCAAGTCAAGCAGGATGATCTGCTCAGTAGCCGTTGAGCTTGTATATTGGGCTGGCTGGCCCAACGTTCAGAAAATTTGCCACGAGACATACCGCCTTTCCCACTTTCCTCCGCATCGGCGTATATATTTCAAGAAAGGAGCCGTTGGAAGAAGAACAAAGGTCATTTTTTCAGTTATCCGATTTCCTTCCCCGATTTCCCATTACTCTCAACTCTCAAGACAGCAACCCGAGTTCTCAGAGTCTGTGAAGCAGTTCCAGAAAGATCAATCGCGCTCGTGTCCGTAAGTGTCTTCTTCCTCTTTGAGATTTCTGTTCGTTGCTATCGCTGCTTTTAGGGACTCGAGTTCTGGGTTCTCAAAGTTCAGGGACTTAGTAGCAAAGATTCTTTCCCCCCCTTGGAACCCATTTAGAGAATCGATCGTTTGGAAGTGTAAAATCGCTGTTCTGTCCTGATTTTTCTACAGGATTATTGGAAAATTACCCTAGGTCTCAGAGTTGCGAAGCAAGTTTAGGAAAGGGTGATCAATCTCTGTGACTGTAAGTATCTTTCTCGTGAGATTTCTCGTTGATTTTAGGGGTTCAAGTTTTGGGTTCCTCTGATTGTAGGGATTCAAGTGTTGGGCTTTTCTGAATTTAGGGTTTCGAATTCTGGCTTCTTCTAATTTTAGGGATTCAAGTTTTTGGTTCTGATATTATAGATTGTTGAGGGTTCAATTTCTGGGTTCTTCTGATTTTAGGGATTTAGCATAGATCGTGCCCACTTCGAATCCTTTTAGAGAATTTTGATCCATACGTGTGGAACTACAATTAACGACGTTCCACCACTGATTTTTCTGGGTAATTAGAAGTTTAGAACCACCCTTCGGAATCTTACGACAATGGCGACAAGAGTTGGCGGAGGTGTTGCTCCGGTTCGAACTTTTGACTACAAAGGTAATTGACTATTTCTCAATTCTCATCTTTTACTGTACCATGTGTGTCTACTTCTTGGCAACTCGGCTAGGTTTTCAACTTACCCAAAATTATCTGCTGACTGACTGAAAACAGATGTCTCCAAGACATCCAAGAAAGGAGGAGGGTTAGGTGGGAGGACACCGCTGGGTGATTTGTCAAACGCATTGAAGAACTCTTCTTCTCTGAACAATACATCCAAGCAGCAGCAGCAGACTCGTTCAGGAATTGTAGGATTGAATGGAAAAAAGAAGTCTGCTGGTCTCGCTGGAGGAGCCAATGCTGCAAGCGTGAAAACGAGTGTTAAAGCTTCTGGGAATAGGAAGGTCCTTTCTGATATCTCAAACTCGTCCAACGTGCCAAAGGGAAGTGATATATCGCAGAAGAAGGCGGTGAAGAACAGCAAGAGGCTGAGTGTTGTGCAGGAGGAAGACCCAATGCATCCATGTGCAATTGCTGAGGAAGGGTTTCTGCACAATCATGACGAATGCATCAAGGCCCAGAACAGACAGATGGATTTGTATGAGTTCTTGAAGATCCTTGGTTTAGACAAAGGTAAATCAATTGATTCCCTGTTTGTTTGTTATGCATGATATCATAATTTCTACCATGTTGAGTTTCAGTGAACACCCTTTGCTGTATCTTTTTCTCCAGATTGTTCTGAGCAGTTAGAGAACCAGCGTTCAAACCAAGTAGAGGTCAGTTGGAAGAATCTCCATAGCTACCCAATTGGGCCAAAACCTTCATCTTATCATGGTAACATGTTTGCTTCATTTTACCCTGTGTTTCAGCCTGACAGTCCTAAGCGGCACTACGAGCTAATGGAAGAAGAGGAAAATTGGGACTTTGAGTTTCCAACAACGCGCAATCTTCATTCTCCCCCCTGTTCCAGTCCACCATCGCCCAAATCCGATTCAAGCTGGTTGGATAATGACCACGGCTTCGTCAACTTCCAGCTGATCGCTTCTCCTTAACTGCTGTTGATCAAACTGAAGCATTGGAAATCTACCCTTCCTGAAGCACTAGATGTGAATTTTGTTGTTGAAACTTATTGAATGTTGCCAATTCTGTTTGGCATCTCTCTAGGTTGTCTTTGATCAATGTCCTTTGACATTTGTTAATTGATCATATCGTGCTTAGCTGCTGACCTAAAGCACTTGACTGTAGGCTGTAGCCTGTAGCCTGTGGCCAGTAAATAGTAATGTAGACGGCTTCTTCTTCCTTCTTATGTCAGTAGTGGATTTGCTAGAGCTTCTCATTTTTTGGGCCTCAAGGTCCATTTGGAACGCTTATTATGGATTTACCAATTTAGAACTTCGATCCAACAACTCGTATTCTTGGGCTCATTAAACAAGTACAGCCCAATCAGTTGTGAATCAGCTAAACTGCTTTCTCTCTCTCTCTCTCTCTCTCTCTCTCTCTCTCTCTCCCCCCGCGCTTCTTCGCAAAGCCTCATCTTCCTTTCCAAAGCAGCTGCTCCCAATCTGCTAAACCCCACGGGAAAAGCTTCCCTGCTTCTCCGCTCGCCGAGAAATGGTAGTAGTAGCGTCTCTCCGGCTGCCGTCACTCACCTCCCTCTTCTTCGCCTCTTCTCGGTCAACCCATCGGGCTCCGGTTGCTCTATTCCGCAGGCGCCACAGCTGCCGGCGGCAGCCTTTCCTCGCTGCGGCGAAGTTTTCGGCCCAGAGTGCCGCGTCCAGTCCGCCGGAGACCACCGAGGAGCTAGCTGTAAACCAGAAGAAGAGTAGTAAGAACAACCAGGACCGAGTCATCACCCCTCGTTCGCAGGACTTCAATGCTTGGTACCTTGATGTGATTGCTAATGCTGAGCTCGCTGATTATGGCCCCGTTCGTGGAACTATGGTCATTCGCCCTTATGGTTACGCCATCTGGGAGGCAATTCAGGTGCGGTAAGCTGGTATGAAGATTTCTTATATGGTTTTTATGCTTGAATATAACTTGTTTGAATTGGTTTTGCTATTGATTCAGGACTATTTGAATGTCAAATTCAAGGAGACCGGGCATAGCAACATGTACTTCCCACAGGTAATGGTGTCTTTTCCCAGTTCGACACAGCTTCTAAGTATCAGATAAGCCATTTTTGCTTGTCAGCAATCAAGTAATCGTTATTCGATTGTGGTTGCAGTTTATACCGTATTCCTTTATTGAGAAAGAAGCTAGTCATGTTGAGGGATTCAGTCCTGAACTGGCTGTTGTAACTATTGGTGGAGGAAAGGAACTCGAAGAAAAGCTTGTGGTACGAAGATTCAACCTTGGCCTTTCTTGCTTCAGAATCTAGTACTCTAGTGTTACATGTTGAGAGATGTGAATGTTGGTTAAGTTTGTTAAACACAACTGTGGTCTGAGTTTTGGTCTTTGATTTCTGCACTCGTCGAGGTTGTTGTGGCAGGTTCGACCCACCAGCGAAACCATAGTGAATCACATGTTCACTCAGTGGATTCATAGTTATCGTGATCTGCCTCTATTGATCAATCAGGTGAGGATTTAAAATCTTATATGAAGGGTTTGAGATATCTGGTTAGTTCATCTCATTTGTATATGAAGCTTTGTTCCGCTACTGCAGTGGGCAAATGTCACTAGATGGGAAATGCGCACGAAGCCATTTGTGAGGACTCTCGAGTTTCTGTGGCAGGAGGGTCATACTGCTCATGCAACTCCAGAGGAGGCAGAAGAAGAGGTTTGCATCTCATTTGTTTACAAGAATGTGCAGTTGTATGCAATCATAGTATCTAATTTATTTACTAGGACGTGCATTTGTATGCAAACTTAGTATTTTTCTTATGGGCTTCCTACTGCTGAACTGTAGGCTATGAAAATGATTGATGTCTATACAAAGTTTGCTTATGAGGAGGCTGCAATACCAGTGGTAGTAGGTAGGAAGTCCAGAGAAGAAACATTTGCCGGAGCTGTTCGAACATATACAATAGAGGCTATGATGGGCGATAGAAAGGCCTTACAGGCTGGAACCAGCCATAACCTCGGCCAGAACTTTTCTCGGGCTTTTGATACGCAGGTAACTTCTGGATGTTTATTGTAAGATCTTTACTCTTAAAAGTAATGTTGAGAATTGGATATCCTTTTCAGTCGATCTTCATCACGCTTGCTGAAAGCTATAAAAAAAAAAAAAACTCAACGTTTGAATTAGTTTCTTCAACATGATCCATCGTATATTCGTTTGATATGATATTATATGACTTTTTTCTAACTGTGTTAAATCACCATAGCTTGATGGTCAACTTTGTCAAACTGTGATTGCAGTAAAATATTAACTAGCATGAGAATATTTGGACAGTAGAAACGATAGATGGTCAGGGAAATGTATTTCTCGCTTTTTTGGTCTTGGTATTCTGCATTCTGTCCTCCATGTCTATATAGTCCCGGTACTTGAGTTTTCTAGGTAGTTTTCTGTGATGGGCTTTAGTTTGTGGAGACTGAAGTTGATACTGCATGAACTTCTGTAGCAAGTAACTTAGTTTAGTTTTCAGTACCGTGTCCCGATGTTTCTTGTTGCCCACTGCTTTGACTGTGTAACTTTCTATACTTCCTTTCTATAGTTCTTAAATGTATGCAACACCATAGGCAACCTGTAAGGACCACTGCCAATTGTGCCGACCTGTTTTAGCTTCCTTCTCACTGTTTCCTGTTTGCATTTAGTCCGGGTATCTCCGTTTATTCGGATCTCTTTAATCGAGTAGGGTCATGGTTAAAGTCAAGTACCAAGGAACTTTCTTTGTTATGAAATAATCGATCTTCTGAATCCTTCTGGGACCAATTTGAGTTTCCTGCATTAATACTGGCTTAGTTGCTTTGTTAAATGGCAATCCAAATATTTCACATACGAGAAAAAAAAATTATATTCCAAATAGTCCACTTATGTTCTTTTTTCTCTTTATTCAGTTTATGGATGAGAATGGCCAGAGGCAACATATATGGCAAACATCATGGGCTGTCAGTACAAGATTTGTTGGTGGAATTATCATGACACATGGAGATGATGCTGGCCTAATGCTTCCTCCCAAACTTGCACCAGTTCAGGTACTTGTGCCCCACTCTACCGGGACACTTTGATTTGCTCTTTTCAAGGATCTTATTAGATATGAAAACATTTCAGCCCTGGTATATTTTCACCCAAGGATACCAAATAGCAGTATATATTTTCCTGTTAATACATTTGAACTTGTATAAAATCCCTCTTGCCTTTACAAGTGATATTGAATAGGGAAAGGGAACTTGTATTGCAATTGCCGTGGCCTCCTGATATATGGATTTGCGTTACAGGTTGTGATTGTGCCCATATGGAAAAAGGACGATGAAAAGGCTGGGGTTCTGAATGCTGCGTCCTCTGTAAAAGAAGTTCTGCACTCTGCTGGTGTGAAAGTCAAACTTGACGACTCAGACATGAGAACCCCTGGATGGAAGTTCAATTTCTGGGAGATGAAGGTAACTCTTCTAAACCTAAGCTATACACATAATTGTTAGCCCCCAACTCCGAATCCATCAAGTAAAATAGTTGGCCCGGGTTTTCACAGGGGGTCCCTATTAGGATTGAGATTGGTCCTCGAGATGTTGCAAGCGGAAGTGTTGTGATATCAAGGAGAGATGTTCCTGGAAAGCAAGGAAAAGTTTTTGGAATATCAATGGAGCCTTCAACTTTAGTAGGTTACGTAAAAGACAAGCTGGATGAGATCCAAGCATCCCTGTTGGCTAAAGCCACATCATTTCGAGATAGGTATATTCTCGTCCTAGTATCGTCTACAGAACAGCTCTGTGATCTTCCTTCTGATTAGACAGGACATATAAGATTTTTTTCCCATTCATTGCTTTTCACTCGAGAAATCAAATTCACTGCTTCCTTCTTCTCACTCGTTTGCAGTAACATTGTCGACGTGAGCTCGTATGATGAACTCAAAGAAGCAATATCGCAGGGCAAATGGGCAAGGGGTCCTTGGTCCGCAAGGTAATCGTATTATTCTCATCTTCATTCTGCCATTCTCTTTTTCAGTTCCCTTCCCCTCACATTTGTTGCTCCCTCGTCGCAGCGATGAAGACGAAGCAAGAGTGAAAGAAGAAACCGGAGCAACCATCCGTTGCTTCCCGTTCGAACAGCCCGCTGGAACCAAGACTTGCTTGATGACAGGACAACCAGCTGGAGAAATCGCCATTTTCGCCAAGTCCTACTAGCTACAATACTCTGTCCTATTGCTGAAAGGGTAACACCTTTCCAGTTCCCAGACCACATCTACTCATTACCCAAATTGGCCAAAGGAAAATAAGTTTAAAGCGATTCGGAGTTTGATACATGGGACGTGAACATGTCTCTTGTTGCCTGTAACTATTTACTTTGTACAAAATGGTCACAATTTTTTAATTTTGCATGTTTCAGTCAAACAAGTTTGAGTGAATAACAAAGAGGTCAATCAATCCACTTCCATCCGAAATTCCTTTACTTTTGCCCAATCAGCATGACATGTCATAAAAAATATTAATTAAAGATAATTTAATTGTTTCAATTAACCGAACAACCCTAACCGGTTCACTATCCCTCGAAACATGTCAAGACTGTAGCTGAAACCAAACAAACCTTTTGGTGGGATACAAGCAATCTCAGGAACCGATCGATCGGAAAGAGGTAGAAACCACCAGGAAGGATTGTGCAGGCGGAGGAGAAGCTGACATGGAACATAACAAAGACATTTTAGAGATGGTGTGTGTAGAAGAAGAGCTCGAACATATCTTCCTTCTGATGCAAGTAAAGCTTAACGCCAACATGACCAATCCAACAATTAAATCTGTTTCTCCGGCGACATTCGATACTAAGAAATCGTCCCGTTTCAATATCTTCTCAATTCTCATCATCCCCCGTGTAACAGAATTGGTAAGTGATTTTCTACAGAAAATGAATGTTTACATGTGTGATCTTCTTACCTTGGAGAGGCTGTTTACTTTTGTCTATGATCATAATCACAAGCTTGACAACTTTACCTCCCATCTCTGTGTTTCAAGTGCTAACAATTACTAAAACAACCAATCAAACATAGTGATTTGAAAGCGTGAGAGCGATGCAACAGAGATGTCTTACACTTTCAATCCTTCGATTGCAGCTTCCTGGCGGATAGGGGCAAACATGGCGTGCAAGTAGGAAAAAGATGGACAAACACAAGAGAGCTATGAAGCTTTGAATGGAATGGCTTATGGGCTTAGGGAAGTCTTATGACAGACGAATTATTAGTCAGGGTAACGGCAAAAGAATCTCTTTGATTTTCTCTACTTTTGTTCCCTTTTCTACTCTCCTTTCACACTTTTGGATGTTTCAACTTAAAGAAGACTATGTTGCCTATAAGACCAATTTCTCCAACCCAACATATGTGTTCGTCGTTCTATTTCAGTAGGAATTTGTTTCGTCATTTTGAGTATCGATGGAGGGAAACAAAATTCTTTAATGATAAATTCGTATATTTGCATATTTTTTTGTCTTGTCTATATATTTAAATGACGCTTCTATTTGTGGATACCAATTGAGGTGAACAAAACTCTTTAAAGAGAAATTTGTATATTTCAATTTCCTTTGTCTCGTTTATATATATTTAAATGATGATTCTGTGCATCTATGCTTATTTCACATAGTTCATATAACACGATATATACATGCTATATTGTTTAAACATTCGATCATCAACATTTGTCACATATGTTATCGTAAGTCGTAACATTATTTATTTATATCAGAAACCAAAACAATTGAGAGATAAAATGCAATACTTCAACCCAAACAAACACCATATTGTACAGAATACAGCTTCTTATTCTCTTATTTGTCTTTGAGTACACAAAGGATTAACTTTTTCAAACTTCTGGCAACTCCAAATCCATATTTGACACAGAAAAGTGATGAATTTGAGAAGACAGTAGTGGATCACCAATTAAAACTAATGGACTCAAAGTGCAGATTTTGGGCCGAGCCTGGTGAACAGATCTGGGCTACTTCATGTCGCAACGATCTCGGCCCACAAGCCATCACCCCAACGTCCGACGCTCCGCAACCCAACAGTATCCCTGCATGCATGAATGAAACAAAATAATACAGCGTTCAAAAAAGGAAAAAAAAAAAAAAAAATCTGATCAGTTTGATTATGTGAACGGTATTGCTTACTCTTGAGGTCAGGCCTCCGTCCAAAATGCACGTTGGTAGCTCCAGCAACGCACTGCACCGGCACACTTTCCACCTCTCCGACAAAACTTCCCGGCGGCTGCGGCGAAACTCCCACTTCCAGGCCTTTCACTCTATTCCCTTCCGCCAAATCCCTCCTTTTCTTGACGAGGAAAACCATAGAAGAGACAGCGAGTACGCCGGCGCAGGCGAGGAAGACGTCCCAGAGGATGAAGTAGGAGTAGTGGTAGCTGCCGTCGTGGGCATTTCGGTCAATCGGGTAAATATAAAACCGAGTCACAACCCCGAGGAGGAGGACGAACAAGGCGAAAGATGACACTATTATTGCACCGAGCCAGAGCCATGCGTTGGGTCCGAGATTCGCTGAGATGGGCCTGTCCGATTGGGCCGGATTGAACCGTTTGGTTTGCGCCGGTTGTTTCTCAGAATCGGTGGGCTGGTCTTTCTCTCTGGTGATGTAGGCTTCGATCTGAAGGTTCAACAACTCGGGAATCGGATGGGGCGTGCCATCGAAGGGCAGCAGGAGGTCGAGCATGGCGAGATCCGTGGAGTTCTTGAAAGCGCAAATCAGAAGGATTCGTGATGGGATTTGCGGGTTAGGGTTTGAGCTCTGGAAGATGATTTCGCGGATTATGGAAATGAAGGGGGTGATTCCGCTTCCGCCACTGATTAGCACTAGTTCCTCGTGCCTATGGAGAGTTTACAAAAAAAAAAAAAGTACGATTTTAGAGTATTATATACTAGCAAATGTAAAATCAGGAAGAAGGATTGTGTATCGAACCGGAGAAAATGGGATGAAATGGGTCCGTAGGGGCCTTCAACTGAAGCTTGGAGACGATCCACGGAGGAGGAGATTTGTTGGGAAAGTTTTCGTGACCAACTTCCCAGACTTTTTACGACCAAACTGAGATTATTGGGCTCCAAGTTGCTATTTGAAGTGACAGTGAAAGGATGCCATTGCAGCTTGGAAATGGTGGGGATATTTATGAACAATATGCTTGTTGGATTATATTTCAACCCTGCACAAAAAAAAAACTCAAAATTGTCACGTAGAATTGTCGGTTTGGTTAATCGAATCGTCGAACAAGAAAAATCAAAACCCAAAATAATTTAGTCTCTGAAAACTGATAATCGTCCTTATATATCGATTTCATCTCGATCTGAACAAACCCAAAAACTGAATCTTCCCCCACTTACAATGGTCATAATATGTATTTTTCTTCTTCTTTTTGATACTTAACGTTTTAACCGTTTAAACCAAAATTGAAATCGTTAAACTTCTTATCAATTCGGTTTTAAACAAATCAATCAACATCCAGGCATGGTTGTTATATGATCATATTCATATGTCCATACCAGGGCACTTGGAGAAGTTGAGTTCAACGCTACCACAAGGCAAGAGTCGAGCAGAGATCAATCTGGCGTTCCTTTGAGACTGCAAGAACCTCAAGTAACGGTCGATCATGAAAAGGAACATCCCAGGAAGGATCATGCACAGGTAATCAGCACCAACGTGGAGCAGGTAGAACAGTATGTACAAAACGTAGAGATGGTGAGTGTAGAAGAAGACTTCGAACATCTTTCTCCTAACACGACCAAAACTGGTCACCCACATTACCACCGCTATCGCCATTGCTATTTCTCCAGCTACATTTGATACATATGTCCTGCTCCACTCCAACATCTGCACACATAATGTATTTGAAAAGAAAAGAAAAAAGTTCATTTCACAAGAAACGTCCCGTGACATGCCTAGGAATCATATTTTATTAATCATGAGCTAGTTCTTCTTCTGACGGTCGATTCAATCTCGGATAAAAAAGATATATATTGGTTCTATTCCAACTCTTTGACAAGTTCAGTAATGAGTGTAACGACCATATTGTTGCGATGGGAAGAAAGAGTCACATGATTAGCTTTTTTAGAAAATTTCCAAACGAGCAATATTTTCAATGAAATTTTTCGATTTCTCATTTTACTATATCCAACTCTTTCTATTCCTCCATCCGTAGAGTACATTAAATGGTTATAACATAGTTTCTCTTATCGATATTAATGAAATCTTTCAATTTCTTATTTTTACTATATCCAACTCCATGTATTCCTCTATCCGTAAAGTGGGTACATTGATTGTACACTAAACGGCTATTCATAGTTTCTCTTATTCGTATTAATGAAATCTTTCAATTTCTTATTTTTACTATACTCAAGTGTATGCTTTGTCTATCTTGTAGGGTACATTGAATGTGCAAGTAAATGGCTATAATTAACATCCTTTCTCTTATTCGTATTAACAACTACTACTCTAGGAGGGAATAATGTTTCTATGCGGTGCTAACGATTTAATAATTATTTTTGTAGCTCTTCTATTTTGGTTCATGGCTTCTTTAACTATATTATCGAACACAGAAAGATGTACGGTGTAACGAGTCTCCTATATATGAAATATTTTACCTCGGACATTTGGTTAGTCATCCCCCAATACACGACGAACCCAATTGTGTGCAGAGCAAAGAGGACATTAGAAACGTGGCCTAGCCAAATATGGTACTTGATGGTGGAATCCGAAGTGAGCCCTATAAGAGGCAGCAACGAAGCCCCTCTAGTCACAGGGAAGAAGAGAAACGCCCAGCATATGTTCCCAACGTAGCCTAGCCTCAGTGATACGCTGCGAAACTTGGCCTGCCAACTGCATGCATGCACGCAGAAAATCAAACGACTTAATGCTGTTTTATCAGGAAAAAAAAATTCAAGAGTACACAGATATATATGCAGCTGTAATTTAGGGCTGCTTACATCTTTTCTCCTTGTTTGTGCATGTGGAGGTGGCCAAAACTAACGTATAAGTAATTGGCCAGGGACCAGATGAGGAGTGCTATGAACATCGCCATGAAAGCCAGCTCCACTCCTGTGACTATCCCCAGCGGGGAGATCACATATGGCCTCCACAAGGGAGAAATTAGTTTGGGTTTGACTTCTCTGCAGCCAACAAATTTTATTAGAGTATATCTGAGTTACTACCCCATCAATTTGGGAGAGTAATAGATTATGAGTAATGCAAGTAGTATTACGAGTATTGATATGTAATCGGATGGAGTTATGTTCCTTATTATATATTCCTATAAGTTAGGTATTTTCCATAGTATTAATGTTATGGTTGTTACAAAAGTCGGTCATTGTTGTAATCTTTATAAATTCATCGTTGTTTTAGACTTTCAGTACAATAAGACACAACAATTTTTGATCGAATTATGGTTTATCTACGAAACCTTTTGGAGGATGAGAAGGGTCCCTGGAGTCTGGTGTGGAAATGAAGATAAACACATCCCAAAGCAGCTATGAACATGGCAGGAAAGGAGAAGAGCAGAAGGTTCGTCCCTGCAGAACAGATCGAGGAGCAGAATGAATGGTAATTACACGATTTGATCACCCCCCTAATGCTACAATATACAAGATTAAAGCTAATACTACTAAAACACTAATTACCTTGTCCCTGGAAATAAACCGAGTTGAAGTGGGTGGATGAAAGGTTTGGATCCCATGAATTCTTGTAAGCCTTTGTGGGCAGCATTACCCATATCATCAGCCATCCCACTAAGGCAACCAGCAAGACTGCCCCAACGGCGGCGTTTAGGTTCCTCATTTGTTTGTTCTCTTCTAAAAGAGGGATGGGTGATCCTCTGCACTCTTCAATTCTGTACCACGTTTTTATAATACATCCCCAAGTCCACGTCATCCGTGAAATCGTACAGGGAAAAAAGAAGTCTTCGATGAAGCATTCTGTACTGGTTTTTGTATTCAGGTAGCATACTGTACTTCATTCGATGATCTATTAAGTTCGTAACATTACCACCACGACATAAACCCTCGTCGGAATTATCAAACAGTATTCAGTCTCCTCCTAACATTGTATGTTACTGCCAGTACAGTAATCACTGACTGCTAAGAAAAGCAGTACAGTTGGGCAAATAATGAAAGTACAGTTGACCTGATAAAAACAAAGTACAAGCAGTTGACTTTGCCAGAAGAGGACTTTCCAGCAAGCAACCATATTCTATTCACGAGCATCCAATGAGCAACAGAATATGCTTTGCTCTAAGGAAATGCAGGAAACCAAGAAAAAGAATTTAGGTTTCCTCTATACTGTTGAAATCTGATGATCACAAGTGTCTGAGGACCATCATGCCGAACCCAATGCCAAGAAACGTTGCGATAGAGACACCAAAGATGCCTGCGAGGATCGCAGGGACGACCAGGGAACTCCATCCTTTAGCTGTTGCCATCCCACAAGCCGTCGTAGGGCCTCCAACGTTGGCATTGGACGCTAGAAGTAATAGCTTCAGGTCGAACCGGAACAGCTTTCCCAAACCCAGAACCACAGCAAGATGGACCGTTACTTGAATCAGAGCAAAAAGGAATATGCTAGGTGCTGTGTTGATGACATTCATTATGCTCCCACCAGCTCCCACCACGGCGAAGAACACCTGGTGTTGGATAAGCAAGCCATTTTAGTAATGAGGTCGTCTTGATTGGTGGATCAGTTACATAAATGGGTTGATTTTGCTCTTGTTCTTTTACCTGCATCAGAACTACAGCAAGGGTATCGCCAGCAGGGGCTAGAGAACTGAATTGATCAGGAAAAGCTGTTGCTAGGATGACAACAAGAGCTGTCACAGCTGGGAGAGTGCCTCCTTGGATCTTGAATGACTGGGTGAGAAATGTTGCAGCCTTGCATATGGAGATAGAGATGGCAATAGCTGTAGCCATCTGTAGCACAGTCGTCTTTGCTTCAGAATCCGATTTGGCAGTCCCTTCAACCTCTGCCAAGAGATTCACAGGTTGATGAAGCGGTTACAGCTGATTGTCACGAGGAATGAACCAACTAACCCATTTGATGGCTTAGCCTGGATATAGTTACCATTAGTTGACATTGATGGCTCACGCGGTATTTTAGCAGCCATTGCAAATAGAACCATGAAGTATATAGCAGTAAGCACATTGTCCGCAGCTATTCCTGCTGCCACAACAGACGGGGAAGTCCCCAGAGCTTCTGAAACTGCAACATAATTAACAGCTGCGCCAGATAGGGGAAAAAGCTAAAAGAGTTAACTTCCTAGAATGATTGTTACAGCAAATTGAAATTATTTTAATCATGAACAACATAGTAGTGAAGATTGAAATGACAAAATTCAGCAACTGACCTCCACCAATGTAACTCCCCATCAAAGCAGAAGCTATCTTCCAGTTGTCCTGGCCAAGTGATCTCATAGGCACCAGCAGAAAAGCCACTATAGTTCCAATAACAGTGGCCGCTGTCCAGCACAAGACATTGCAGTGAAGAATCAGAGGGGATGGAAGATTAATGGTTGTGAATCATTTTTTAAGGAAGACCCATCAGACATTTCATTCACTACTACATGACAACAATGTGGGAAGACTAATTTCCTAGTACTCGGCAGCATAATGATAACAATAACAGAATGTTCAACCAACCCATCAAACTCAGCACAACCAGAAGCTCAAAGGCACTTACTATATAAAACAGAGCCTTGGCATCTGCTCCACCATTAAGATCCTATTGCTTCCATCAACTACCCTATACAACAACATTGAGAGAGACTCTCATCAAATCGACCAGAACTTTCTTTCAGTTTACCATACTTTTCTCTATTGGCAAATCAAACAGAAAGAGTGGGGAAAGGGAGCCAAACCTGAACCAAGAAGGAAAGCCAATAGCAGTTTCCCAGTAGATTGAATCACACTCCGCAAGTCTGCTCTGAACAGCAACAGGGGAATCGTAATTGGAAGCAGAAACTCCAGCACGATTGAATACGCTTTCGCTTCATGAGGGATTATCCCCAAATTGCTCCCCGCAAGCCCTACCAACGTGCTCACTAACGCCGCGCTCACCATGTTCCCCAGCTTCGTCTTCTCGGACCTTTCCCCAAAACATTCACAGAATCAAAAAATCAGTTTTCCCTTCCGATTAAAAACCAAAGGAATTTCCTCCCACCAATTCCTTACCAGACGCCGAAAGCTCCGGCCCCGAAGAGCGCCGTCCATGTTCCCCAGTGGTCGTCGGGGGAAATAATCGGATACCCCAGCTGCGAAAACACTTTCGCAGGTACACGTCGCCTCCTCTCCCGCCGTGCCGGATGAGAGAAGAATGCCACCGTCCTGCTGGCGCTTGGAGATTCGTCGATTAGTGCTGAAATGGTGAAGAAGTTGCGGCCGGAAGGTGGGATTGGGAATAGGAGCAGGCGGCGGCATGGAGAGGTTGACGACGTCGGTGGGGAGAAGAAAGGGCAACGACGCAACGGCGGCGTAGCGCAGGTGGAGGCGGAAGCCATGGATGATGAATTGGCCAAGGAATCCGCCGGCCAGGAGGGTTGTTTAGTGACTGAACTATTCGACTAGTAGCGATTTTGAACGGAGAAATTGGTGTCATTAGTCCGGGCCTTTCCGTCGTTTGTTTGCGATTGGAATTTGGCTCCTTTGCCTGCTGACGAGGGAATCTTCCACGTGGCGACGCTACGATGCAGTTTCCATCGCCGGAGTCCACTTCGGATCGATTCACTACTACAGTCTACAGTCTTAAGCTGGATCGAATCTGCCAATTGGAGGGGCCAACTTTGGGCCTGCAATTGAATGGGCCCAAACAGTTTTGGGTTCATAATCAGTCCAAGTCAAAATATTTAATAATCAGTTTCGTTTGTCATCCCTTGTGGGTTGGATTAAGGATTCAACCACCAATCCACCAACTCATACCGCCTTAATAACTAGTTTAGTGTCAACCCGGTTTGGCACATTGGCACAGTTGAACAAGTACGTTAAAAGTTAATGGTCCAATCATTTTAGTCCATTTTAGCTTGAATATATGAAAAAATCTTTATAGTTTTTATCCATTTATAAATTATCTCAAATCTCATCTAACATATCATTAATAACAGATAATATTACACCAAAATAATACGTCGTACTTGAATCAAACATATAGTGAGAATTCGCACACTTATTAAACATCAATATTCAAAAGTTCGATTTAGAATTCGAAAGATAGGGTTAAGACAAAGAGTAAAATTAGAAGAAAGACTCATTTCACAAACCGAAGGAGAAAACAATGTCATGTGACTTCCAATTTGATAACCTTACAACGGGTCAACTCGTAGGCATGTGTGGCACGTTTTTCTCACTGGATCAAGGTCAACTGGTGGGTCACCTGCGGGTTAAAAATATTGCTCTTTGGTCTTTTACTTTTTTTTTCCAAAATTGCTTGCTAAGTTATCCATATGGAACTCAGAAGTTATTTAGTCTTTTAAACCCATCATATTTTCAATTTGATTTGTTTTATCAGTTTTAATCAAAACCAAATCATTAAGAAGTTTAATGGTTTTTTTTCGGTTTTACACTGTCTAGCATCTTAATGATTTTGGTTTTGGTTAAAATCAATAAAAAATAGATAAGACCCTAATTAAGTCAATACCCATCAACAACACACGTTGTCACCAACTTACATGTAATACTCTTCTTTCCTATCTTCATACTTTTGTTGTATATTCTAACTTCACAAACTATGAGTTTGGTTTTAGATTTTTTGGTTTATCCAAACCAAATTAAAACTATTAAAACTATTAAGTCGATTTTCGATTAATCAATAACAATTTTAGTTTATGAGAATTTATATGATTTTATTTTTGATTTTTCATACTTAAGGGTACAGTTAACCAAACCAAATTGATTAGTCATATATTGTCAAGAACCAGTTGGTCCCAATAACTCGAGTTGTTGGGAGAGGTTCAATCGTGAATCTTATACCATTCTCTAACACGCCCCCTCAAACGAAAGCCAACCCATGGGGGCTTGAAGTTTGCACAGGTCCACCATACCATGTGCTTGAAAGACAACGGTTAATATTGGGGGTCGTGGAGATTCGAACACATGACCTTTCGGTTCTAGGCTCTGATACCATGTCAAGAACCAGTTGCTCCCAATAACTCGAGTTGTTGGGAGAAGGTTTTGCTGGATCTTATACTACACTCTAACACGCCCCCTCAAACGAAAGCCAACCCATGGGCTTGAAGTTTGCACAGGTCCACCATACCATGTGCTTGAAAGACAACGGTTAATATTGGGGGTCGTGGAGATTCGAACACATGACCTTTTGGTTCGAGGCTCTGATACCATGTCAAGAACCAGTTGGTCCCAATAACTCGAGTTGTTGGGAGAGGTTCAATCGTGAATCTTATACCATTCTCTAACATATATAACCTATGCCCCCGACTTAAGACGCCAATGGGTAAATAATCGGTTTGAGACACCAACTATAAACAAAAGCTGAATTTAAGGCACGAACTAAAATATATTCATTGACACTTCTCTTGAGTTTAGCTTCTATCTCATTTTCAAGTCCTAAAACATGATTATTCTCATTCACAATTGAGATCAATCACTAATTAGAAGAAAATAAGAGTCCTAAACGTTCAAGGACTAATTAGTTATAATTTGATCAGACGAAATTCCAATCCTTATTAAGAAAAAACCCTTCTATTAAGACAGAAAATTCGAGGTAATGGATTCACCAATCACCTCATACTACCAGAGTCAGAATTTAGGTAGAGTTCGAAATCAATCGGACGAGGCAAGGAAGAGAGTGGAAAAAATCGACCGGCGGTGATGATTTCATGCTGGGCACTAGTTTGTTCCACCACACGACAAGCGACTCTCGCCGGAGAAGTAGGAACGCCAGAGGTGCCTCGTCATCGATGGGATGAGCTTTGCCCGGATCTCTTGAATTCGATCTACGGCAAGCTCCCTCCCGGCCACTACGGCCGGACTGATTTCGGATCGGTATGCAGGAACTGGCATCGGATCCACGCAGCCGCCGGGACCCCGCCGCTGACGGCTCCTCTCGCCGGCGGACGAAATCACCCTATCGACGTCCGATCTCACATCGGCGACGACATTCCCGGTGGAAGGGTCCGCTGGTTATTTTGTTATGCCCGCCGGTTATTGAGTCTGCCGCAACTGCACGTGGTGTACACGTGGTCCAGCGGGTGGTGGCTTCTGGAATCGAATCGGTTAATCTGCGCCTGCTTCAATCCCCTGCTTCCATGGCCGTCCTGCTACCATAAGCTTCCCAATTTGGGGCTCCGCCCTTTCGACGAGATCCCCGAAATTCCGATAAAAGCGGCGTTCTCGGCCCCGCCGTCGAGGAACCGGAGCTGGACGATCTTGGTCGTTCACAGCCGCTGGAGTTTCAGCACGTTCCGCCGCGGCCGCGGTGGCGGGGGATGGTGGTGGAACAGCTACACTTACTGCCGGAAGGGGGAATTAGAGGCAGGGGCGAGAATTTGCGAGGGAATCGGGTACAGGGAGGGGAGATTCTTTCTCCTTTTCAACACGGGAGACGTTTTGGTCTTCGGAATTGATGGCGGGGAGCGGAGGATGCTGGTGGTGGGAGTTCCTCCGCTGGTGGCAGGGGAGCTGTCCCGGCGGAAAAATTTGCGGGTCGTGGCGGCCGTGGAGGAGGAGGAGTCTTCTTTGGTGGTGAGTTGGGGGCGAGGAAGCGGCGGCGGAGATGGGAGGTTACGGCTGATGACGGTGGAGAGGTGGAAACCGGCGGCGGGGGAGGTAGAAGATTTGGAGTTGGAGGAAGGAAGCAGGGGAGGGGTTTTAATGGCGAGGGAGCAACCGGGAGTGGTCAAGTGGATAGCCATTCGTCATGTTTGCTGGACTCTTTACTTTTTTCTTTGGGTAGGGATTTTTTCCTTCATTGTGTTTTATTTGGTTAGGATTGGAAATAAGGGTCAGTAATAGGGGTGGGCATTGGTGCAGTTCGAACCGCACCGCACCGTATTGACACAGACCGCATCGCACCTCATGTTATTTGGACCGTATCGTATAGTAGACCGCATTTAATTGGTGCGGTCAAACCAAACCGCTTAGATAAGCGATTTGGTGCGGTTCAAACCGCATCGCATATTAGACCGCAATGTAATATCAACCTACAATATTCATGATTGAATTGACAAGTCAGACTTTCTACACTAATGATCGTCCAACTCAAAGATGCTGGAAGGGAAGGCCATGGTGAAAGGAAACAGACATGCTGCAAATTAAACCCATGGCTTCTGCTTAACAAGCACTCGAAAGAAACAAAGGAAGCTTGAACTTTATTTCCACAAAAGACAGAGCATAAATTGAAAATGTTGTCTGGACAAACATTTTGCAGATCAAGAATCAAAGATGCTGGAAAGGACGGCCATGGTGAAAGGAAATATATATGCAGCAAAGTTAAACCATGGCTTCTACTTAATTAACAAGCACTCGAAAGAAAGAAACAAAACAAAGCATGAACTTTACTTCCTAAAAAAACAGAGCATAACATGCGGAGCAGTGGCAAACTCGTTACATTCTTGAAGAGGCAGTAGCCAGCTCTACAAAGCTTGGGATCGCAGCGTGTTCATCTTCTCAGCTGACGGCAAGCTCCTTGAATTCTCATGTGGTGAAGTCTTAGAAGTGATACTCCTCTCTATTAAAGGATTCAAAACTCAAAATGAAACCTTAGCGGATTGCGGTTTTGAACCGTGACCGTGCGGTTCGGTTTGATCCGATCGCAAACCGCATAAAATGTAGACCGCATGTTGGACCGCAAGCTTAATGGTGCGATCTGGTTTGACCGCATATACAATTCGGTGCGATTTGGTGCTGTCCGAAAGCACCAATGCCCACCCCTAGTCAGTAATGACAGTACATTTATTATTTATAAAAAAAAACTCTAAATTTTTTCTCTTATTAATTTTGATAGGTTATTCTTTTGTTTTTATGTCTTAATTTAATTTTTTTTACAAAAAATTAGATTAACTGTGCTCTTCTAAATCACACTCACTTTGATATATTTTGGAAAAACAAATTGAGTCATTTATTATCGGTCCATATCATGTGGTAATGATTGACAGTTCATATAACCAACAAAACTCTTAAAAAATATATGAATCAACCATAGTGACAACCGCTGGAAGATCACCCATCCATCACAACTTCGTGTCAAGATGATTTTATCGTATCGGTTGATTGGAGTATAAAAAACACTTTTCGTCATTTACAATACATATATGTATTATAAGAATTATGTCGGTTAGTTTTATGTGATTAAACAGACAATTTGTATTGACATGTTATGTTTGACGATAGTATGCTGATAGCTTGATTGCCAGTTGAATCAATTATTTTGTTTCATTTTATTTTAAAAATCTTATGTAACATCCCAGATCTTTTTCCTAGCAAGATATTTTCCGCTTTGGACGGAGACTCTCACGGTTTTTGACTTGAGCTACAATTCAAGGTCACTTCCCAGGAGATCACATATCCTTGGCTTCTTGTACTCCATTGTGAGCTTGTTTAAATTTGGAGTTCTCAAGAACTTCTCCATTTCACCCCAAAACACGTCTTGTCAGTTAAAATCGATTTCTTATGAATCATATATCTCTCCCGTGGAATTTGTCTAAGTTGTCACACCTTATACCGTCAAGCAACTACTTCGAAAACTTGTTCCATGTAAATTTTCATATACTTTAACAAGCCATAATGCTGAAGGGTTATATGTATAATATGCCCATTTATTATGTCGTTTTATCAAACATGCCCCTCTACTATTTTTTACATCAAACATGTCTTTGTACTTTGGAAAAATTATCAACCATGCCCTTTTGTTATAATTTGAATTGAAAAAATCGTCAACCATGATTGAACCGAGATTTAAACGATCCGATATCGGCAAATGAGAGGGAAATGTCAGTTTTGTCCCTTGTTTTATTTCCCCGAGTCTCGTCAAAGTGAAATTATTAGAATTATGTGGCTATACAAAAGAACCAAAAATTTATAAAGTGAAATTATTGGGGATATTTTAGACATTTGTGTCGCCCAAACCAAAGTTTGCAGGGGCGGAGGGAGTGTGTAAAGAGGGGGTGCCCCTGCACCCCCTTGGATTGGAGAAATGGTTAAAAATTAGCATATATAGTACGCTGGTTGCAATGGAACTTGAATATAGAAGGTTATTCCTTGTAGTTAATTATTTCTATTATCAAACTAAATTAAGAACGTACGTTTAAATTATTTTCAATTATATAAACGATATCATAGTTTTTACACGAATTAAAAAAATCATATATGATTAACTCAATCTCTTAAATCTCTAATGTTTTAGATAATTGTTAACTGGTGACTCTTAACCTCCCACAACACCACTATGCGTCCAATATCTAACTATCCACTCAAACGTGGTTACTAAGTCGTTCACCTCTACCATCTCATTCCAATCGATGTTCCTCGGCTATCCATAATCACTAGAGTGACTATAACGTAACTCTCCATGGATGGAATGATAAGGAAAATCATGAATAATTTGGTAGGATATATTCACAATAATATATTTGGTAGTTTATATGAACATTTATTTTAAAGTGTATATATATAGTGGAAAAACGTTGTGAGTCACTACATAGGATTAACAATTTATCATATAAGATACATTTATTTTAATTAAGAAAATGACACCCCCTTGTGTAAAATCTTGGCTACGTTGGTTGTGGTTAATGATTTTTGAATGAAAATTTTAACAAAATGGCATGTTTGATTCTTTTTCCAAAATATAAAAACATGTTTGATGTAAAAAATAATAAAGAAGCATATTTAATAAAATAACATAGTAAATGTATGCTGAATTAGTTTTAGAATGTTGATTTCTACCCGTTTCCAGGACGTGTTTTAGCTTTTAATTACAGTTTCCCCAAAGTCAAGCAAAGAACAGCAAGATCAAAAAAGAAGATCCAGCACCGCCAAGTCCAAACTCCAAGTCCAAACTCCAAATCGAGCGAGTCGACAGAAAAATAAAATCGAAATAAAAGAAGAGGGAAAAAAGAGGAAAAGGTTTTAAACCGAAAAGGAAAGTGGAAAAAAATCAACTGCGCGCCAGCGAATTGAAAAAAAAAAGGGGAAGAAAAAACACAGAGCGAATCATTTCTTGGTAGTGGTAAAGTTGGGCAAGGAAGGAGAGGGAACAGAAGAGGGACGCCGGAGCAAGAAGCTGTGCCGGAACCCGGAGGCGGAAGGGGAGAAATTTCCGCCAAAATAGGAGAGAAGCACGGGAGGAGGTTGCTGGAGCTCGACGGTTAAGGTTAGGGATTGTTGATTTTTGTACGTTCGTGGAGGAAGAAGGATGACGGATGTGATATTGCACATATACGATGTGACCAACAGTGGATCGGAGAAGACGAACACCACAATCATGCAGATCAATAAGATCTTCAAGGACGGTATTGGCATCGGCGGCATCTTTCACAGTGCTGTTCAGGTTCTCCTTCTCTCCTTCTTTTCCTCTCTCTCACTCTCAATCGCCTTTTCTGCCGAATTCAAGTGTAGTGTACTACTGTTCGCATAACCTTATGGCTTGCTGCTGAACAGTTTATATCTGCGTTTCTGTTGATTTTCTGCAAGAGAGTTGTTCTAGACAAGATCTTGGGCTCTGAGGGAAAAGGAACTCAGAAAACTGATCTCGGCACTGTGATTCTTTTGTGTTTTGATGGAGTATCTGTGCTAGTGGAGTGTTGTAAGTGAGACTTTGGGCTTCGCTTTGTGGATGTAGAATCGTGTCGTGCTTTTTCTATGGCGAATGGCTACTAAGCTGTGCCTGGGACTCTCACTCAAATTGCGTGAGGTTTTCTGTAAACTGGAATGGCCATGTAGTTCGTAATGTCTTGTAGACTTTCTGAGTAGACACCGGAGTCAAATTACACGATGAATTATGGTAGATGCAGTGGCGACAATGTTATTATAGATAATTGAATGCTTATTCAGGTTTGTGCCTTGGTCTTGTTGCTGAATTTGATGACATTGGAAGCTAGTGAGTCTGTTGGTGATGTTCATTGATGACAGTTGGTTAATGGTTCCAATAGCTGCTGGGTTGCATGGTTAGGCTGCGGAATAGTTTATGGTCAATGAGTAGGTATTTTCTCACCTGCTTAGATTTTGGAAGTGGATATCAGGAGTGGTGAGATGGTTGAGTGGTGAGAATGGATAGAACAATGAGGTATTTTGAGATCGTTAAGTCGTTCAAACCTTTCACCACAATGTTTCCCATCCCTGGCTTATTGTTGTTATTTTTCCTATGCTGTATGTGTTATGCCTCAACCTTGTATGGTATTACAGTTAAGGCAACGGAGAACGTATGGACAGGCAATATAGAGTATAGAGCTAGGCAAGAATCAGTACAATGGCCATGCCTTTTATATGGATTTCTGAATTAAACCTATCTTGCCAGCAACAGAACGTCTAACATATTAGAAACTGAACTTGCTAGAAGATTGTGAGAAACGAAGCTATTAGTTAAACGCATCAACTAATGAATAAGACCAATATAATAAATAATCAATTCAGAGTTCGTAACATAATACTGTAATGACGTATTCTTATAAGTTGTATATGCAAGACCCTTCTACAATGATGAAGGTATCGGTTTAAGTGACTACATCCTTCCATGATCAACTGTTGCGTCTATTTGCACTAATGTTGAATTGCTTATAGATTATTGAGTTGTTCGCACCTTGTGACAGGTGTATGGAGAAGATGAATGGTCATTTGGCTTTTGTGAACATGGAACGGGAGTTTTTAGTTGCCCGTCAGGAAAGAACCCAATGTATACTTACCGTGAAAGCATTATACGTGGAAGAACCAATTTCTCAATCTATAAAGTGAATCAGATCCTTCGTGAACTTAGTAGGGAGTGGCCTGGAAGCTCTTATGATTTGTTGGCCAAGAACTGTAATCACTTCTGTGATGAGTTCTGTGAGAAGTTGGGAGTCCCAAAGCTTCCAGGTATATGATCTTTTATACTTGCTAGTAATATCCTCTCCTTTAAAAGCTTGATATTGTTGTTGGCTATTATACATTTAATGTCTGTTTTGCTGAAATGTGTAGTTATGATGGGTGCACAGTTATATGCTTTAGTTGCTGTTTAAGATAGGCGGAGAAACAACTGGAGCTTTCTGTTCACTGGAAAGTTCCATCTGCCCTTGTCTTCTGTTGTTTAACTGCATGTTTTTCTGGGTTCCTTTGAATGGTGTGTGATTTAAAAATTATTAGGGAAGTCCACTAACGCCTTTCTCGTAAATATAAACTTGAATTGTGCTGTACCTTGATCTTAAGTAAATATGAATGGGATGGGTGAATACCCACAGATCCTCTCAAGATTTAACCGGCATCTTCTTTGCTGAAATGTTTAGAAGGAATTGACTTTTGTTTAGATCATGAACCTAGTTCTTTGCCTTATGTTTGTCCCCTTCTCAACCATCCAGGAGTCAGTTCATGCAAATTTGACATTCTTTCTGTTTTCACCTTATTCACAGGTTGGGTGAACCGATTTGCCAATGCTGGGGATGCTGCTGTTGAAATAGCTGGAACCACAGCCTTAAGAGTAAGACCCCATTTCCAGTTCCCTCTTCTCTGTAACATTTCCAGCTTATTTTTCTTGGGCATGGAAGTAGCTTACAGTGCGGGTTCAGTACTTTGATTCATTCTTATCATATTAGAGTGCAGACTATCACAGTCTGTAGTGTCTAGGCTTTGATCAATTGACCCCGTGTTTTCAGACTGCATGTGTGCTGCTTTATCCTTCTAACATGTCTCGTATTATTCATCCTCTCATTGCTAGTAAATGTGGGTCTAATATTTTTACAAGATAGAGCGATTAATTGCAATTGTGTGTTTGCATCACTTTGCTTGCAGTTCAGACAAGCTAAAACTGAGATTGTATCAGCTAGCAAGGTAGCCTATCGTTTCCTTCTAGGTGTGGCATCCAACAATGGTTCTACTCCTGAATCACCTGGAAACTCGAATGGAGGATCTCCTAGGGTTCAAGCAACTTGGTTCAAGAACCTCGTCACCAACGGGGCAAAACCGTCAACCAGTGCTGAAGTCGACAATCAGGTGAACCTGGTCTCTCCGCAACGGCTCTCACCAGTTCCCCCACTACTCAACAGCAGAAGTCGCGACATGAAGATGTAGAAGTAACACCGATACAGAATGGACATTGGGATGAGTCTGATAGGCTGCTGAGGCACAACTCGAGGCACGGCGAGATCTGATATGTCTCTCCAATAGAAACATGCGTTTGTTGTGCCATAGAGGATTTCACGCCAAATCCCATCAGTTTGAATGGAAAGCCATTGACAGTCTATCTCTGTAAAATGTTTCATTTGCTTTCTGACACCAAGTTTCGTTGGAGGTGCCTGTAAGACAGAATGTTGGAGGGAGATGCTGTGATATTCGTTGATGTGATCTGTTTGTGCTTCTTTCTCTCTAGCAAAAATGTCACCTGCGTTGCTTTCGGATTGCAAACAGAGCCTCGCATCGAGCATTGGTAGTTTGGTACAAGTGAATAAGTACGCCACGACTGGAGCTGCTAGACCCTTTACAGCTTTTGCGGAACTTTCAGCTCCGCCACAATTATTGCAATGACTTTTGCAGACCGATGACTGGTTATCTCAGCTGGTTTTGTTCCATTTTTTTTGCGCATATACACTAGCAGTGAGACATGATTTTGCAGGCAGGAACCGTTCCATACAACTTGTTGCTAAATTGACATCCTCGATACGAAATAAGATTCAAATACACACAACATTGAGAAAAAACCCAAACGGGTAATTGCATATTTGTTACATACCAGAAAATTCACAAGGAAACTATAAAAGACCAGTTTAGTTATGGTAGTACACAGTGGCGGATCCATGGGGTTCTAGGGGTGTCCCGGGACACTCTAAAATATATATAGGTCTACCATTCGGAGAAATATCATCATCATTTAAGAATATAAAATATAAAATGTATCATTAGTTCCATTTTCATAATGATAATTAAGCCTTCATTAAAATGTTATTGGTTAGTTGATTGTCAAGAAAGATGGTATAAAAGCTCAGTGAAATTCCACACGCCCCATAGATAATTTGAAACTAAATCTTAAACCTTACAATCCTACATAAGGGTTTAATGCGCTCCTTTTATGAACCATATGCCAATAATCAAAAAGAAATGGAGAGTTGTTGATTCAAGTCAACTATATACTAACAACTCAGCTAAGAGGGGACCATCAAAACTTGAGAGCAAACAACAAAATTAGGGTTATCTCCAATATACTAATAGACTCAATCAAAGTAATAAAACACAAAATTAGACACTCATTGTCTATCAGTTCTAGTAGGTTGAATAAAGAATCAACCTACTTCAATAAATCAATCAATGATTCCTCGTTTTAAGATAGAAATAGGTTGTGATAGATGTAAAAACCATAAATATAAAGATCCAATAGCCACCACTCTTCGTTCTACAACCAAATTTTTATCTCAAGAGACATATGTTTTAACCAAAAATTCAATTTCTAATCCTCCTTCTGCAACTCCATTATTTATTAAACTCTTTTACATGCCCAACTTAAATTCCCAACAATAAAACCGACGTGCCAAGAGATACCGGATGATTGAGTTTCAAAGGCGGTCTTGTACTGGGAAGTGAAAAGGGGTGCAAACTATTGTACGAAGGAGGGAATTTTCGAGGAAGTTAGAAAGAGATAAGAACAAAGATAAAAACCACAAAATTTAAATTAAAAAATGCAAGGACATAACATGTAGTGACAAAATTAGTTTTTTCCATGTTAGACAATTACCAATTTACCTCTAGCAAAAATTAAGGAGAGAGAAAAAATTTAAAATTGAGAAAGTACATGAAACTCTACAATGAAAATTGAAGTATCAAGCACCATAAAAATATATACGGTATACTTAGTGGGCTTGCTAATCATGATGGAAAGTTCTGCGATTTATCAGAGAGTTGAATGATAACGATGTAATTGCATGTATTTGTGCCCCTAATTCTTATCCGTTTGAGAGGCATAGTCGTGTATTTTGGCCTATTTTAGAGTTTCATGTGTCATGGGAAACTATTCCGTGCCGGCGTGACTAGTTATTTCCCTTGACCATTATTATAAGACATTGAGCTTTGTATTACAGTAATATCCTCGTGAATAAAATCATTAAACACAAAAAACAAATTTTCAAACACATGATTTCTCGTGATTAAAATTTCATTTTCTCAGTAGTGCTAATATTTTATCTTCCTTCCATTCCTCTCTTCTTAGGTATTTTCAAATTATACATTTAGTTTACCATCTACAAGGTTACGAGAATTGATTTTGTAGTAAAAGGTGTATATCCCGTCTCTAAACGTGTTTTTCTGCTAGATTTGTGCTCTAACATTTTGATACCAATCATGCTTTTTCCCTAGATAGATAGCTACAAATTATCATGGGAAACTATACCGTGCCGGCGTGACTAGTTATTTCCCTTGACCATTATTATAAGACATTGAGCTTTGTATTACAGTAATCTCCTCGTGAATAAAATCATTAAACACAAAAAACAAATTTTCAAACACATGATTTCTCGTGATTAAAATTTCATTTTCTCAGTAGTGCTAATATTTTATCTTCCTTCCATTTCTCTCTTCTTAGGTATTTTCAAATTATACATTTAGTTTACCATCTACAAGGTTGATGACAATCTTTCCGAAAGAAAAATATAGCTGACAACTATATAAATTTCAAGGATGAATTTGGATATATCATCATATCAATCGCCTACTAATAACGGGTTGTGGTTTCACACTTTCAGTATGTGGCCTATATAAGACAAGTTTAAAAGAATTTGGGTCGGAAGAAAAAGAGTATGAGTTTGAGATTGCAGAGAGGGTTTTATATAACTATGATTAGGAAGAGAGAGGGGAGAGAGGCTAGCTGTAACATCCCAACCTTTTTCCGAGTAAGATATTGTCTGCTTTGGGTTTTGACTCTTACGGTTTTTGACTTGGGGTGCAATTCAAGGTGACTCATCCTTGTTGTACTCCACATTGAGCACGTTTAACTTCAGAGTTCTCACAAGAACTCCTCCATTGCACCCCAAAACGTGTCTTGTCAGTTAAGGCCGGTTTCCTACTTATGAACCATGGATCTCTCCGTACTTTGTCGATGTGGGATTTGCCTAAGGTGTTACATACACCCCCTGGGACTCAACACGAATTCATATATCATCCACCACTTGGATATTGGAGAACGGTTCTCCATCTCCAATCCAACGGTTCATAAAAATTGTCCATTTAATAAATGGTTCAGATTTGTTAGGTAAAGTGGTAGTGGATTGTGAGGTCAGCATACTGAAAAACAACTGACAAAAAACTGTTTTTGGGGCTCGCGGACTGAAAAAGGAGCTGGCAGAAGAGAGAGAGTAGAGAATACAAGTTCTTGAAAATGCTGAATATGATTTCTGTTTTGTACAAATATGTTTTGTAATCAGTAGCAATATGTTTTGTATTTAGTAAGAATATGGTTTTTAATGCGTGGTATATTATTTTGAATAAGAGTTGTGAAAATTACGAATATAGAAATCACACATATGGAATATGTTTTCTATTCAATGCAAATATCATTTTTTGTTTGATAAGAATATGTTTTTCTAATGTTTATATTTGTTCACTACAAATATAACTTTTGCTTAGTACAAATATGTCTTTTATTCAATACAAATATGATTTTTGTTCAACAAGAATATACATATACCACTTGTAAATAGTATGTATAAGTTATATTTTGTTAAAAATAAATGACCCACATGTCAACTACTTTTTCAAGTCGTGGGTTCCATAATCAACTATCTATTACTCTAATAGATCTGAGCCTTTAATTTAAAAGGACACTTTTGTGGGCTGTTGGATGAGATGGACAACCATTCTCCAAAATTCAAGAGGTGCACCATATCCTGGTTGACTCAACGCTCTCGTTGAGGTTTGCCCCACCATCGTTCAAGAGGGACGCGGAGAGGCTCTGATACCACTTGTAACATCCCAACCTTTTTTCGAGCAAGATATTGCCCGCATTGGGCCTCGACCCTCACGGTTTTTGACTCATGGTGCAATTCAAGGTGACTTCTCATAAGGTCACTCATCCTTGTTGTACTCCACACTGAGCACTTTTAATTTCAGAGTTCTCACAAGAACTCCTTCATTTCACCCCAAAACGTGTCTAGTCAGTTAAGACAAGTTTCCTACTTATGAATCATGAATCTCTCCTGTACTTTGTCGATGTGAGATTTGCCTAAGATGTTACACTAGCAATTTAGCCTTTTATTTCTTTTTTTTTTTCAGCAGAAATCTACTATTTATTTGGTCTTATTCACATATTGACCCACAAGCGACCCTATAAATAAATGAAAAAATGGTTTCGGTTTTCATCCTCTCTCTCCCTTTTTGCTGCTCACCCAGCAACAGATTAAAGCCTGACAGGATATTTCTAAGGGGTCATTTGGATGGATCTTTTCCAAAATGAGGCAATTTGGTACAAAAGTCTCATTTTGGAAAATGAGTTAATTGGGTGAGGAAATTTACACAAATTGTGCCGTTTGGAATGGATAGTGGGATTGGAAAATGTAGGTGAGTCATTCTTGGCGATTTACCAATTTACCCTATGATGACTCGGTATTTGCACATGTTTTCCCCTTTGTTTCTTGATTGTTTGAGCTTGAATTATTGCGTCTTTGGCCTATTTTATGCTAGGTTGTGTTCCTTTGTCCCATTTCAGGTCCTAGCACATAAAGTGAAGCATAGGCGCAAGTTTCAAGTCAATCAGAGATCAATTGACGATTCGAGAGAATAAACTCGGGCATGACCTGAAGAAGAATGGATTTCTACCTCACTTTATGGACAAAGAATCATGCAAGCTTGTTAGGAAACGAAAGAGGACGAGACTATGAGCGTCTGGGATCAAACGGCGACTGATTCGGAGTCCGGACGAGGGAGAAACGAAGCATTAAACAGAGGCTGAGCAAGCCACACGGGCAGAGCAGAAAATCGGCACGACCATGCAAGGTGAGCTGCACGGCCGTGCGGCCTGCCCGTGCAAGAAGCCTGGAATTCAACTAATTGATGCGCTGCGTTTTGACTCGCACGGGCAACTAGGTGAGCCACACGGCCGCGCGGCCTGCCCGTGCGAGTCGGGATTTTCTGCTTTTAAGCAGATTTTCAGCCACAAGTCGAGGGGATTCGAGTTTTAGAGAGAGAGATCAGTTCCTAGAGAGAGAAAGCGACGAACAAGAGTCTCCAAGCGCCCTAGCTTGATCTTCAACACCATTGGAGGCCAGTTTGAGTTTGGAGAAGTGCCGATCAACGTCCAGGAGCAGGAATCCATCCTCCACAGTATGAATTCCGCGTCTGATTCTGCTTTTGCTTCTGTCTCCATGGAGTAGTTCTCCCATTCATCTGGGTATGGAGAACCCTAGATTTGTATGTTAGGCTTTGATTGTATGAACCCAAGTACTGATTCTATGATTTGATTATATTCGATTGAGGTTTGAATGATTGAATGACTTGAATCCTGATCAAATTATTGTTGTTTCTGCTTTAACCTAGAATGAGAATATCTGCCTAGGTTGATAGAGTATCCTTGATTGAAGGTAGGGAGTTGGTGACTTTAGTCGAGGAGCCAACTCACTATTCTGTACCGGATTTACTCCGGTAGTGGAGGTTTTGTTTGTTAAGGCCTCAATCTGTTTACTCCGGTGGAGGTTAGTCGCCCGCTAGAGACTCAGATTGAGAGGGTCTGAAGACCTTTAGTCGAGACTTCAGGCTGTTTAAGAACCTTCCGCAGTATAACTATCATAGAAAATGAACTTGGTAATTACAATCCGGCTTAACTGCAGTCTAGGGGGAACCATATCCGGGTGACCTCTCTTAACCTGAATACAACAGTTTACTTGCTTTGTTTGTTTGATAGTTTAGACTTGCATTCCAGTTTCATTGCTAGATAACAAGAATTCACTGAGTAGTCATCAGATCTAGGACCCGGGTTGATAATTAAACCCAAACCCGCTATACTACGCTTTAGGAAGTGGTTTCACTTGGCCAATTCCTGGAGTGACAGTAGAAGTGAGTCAAGTTTTTGGCGCCGTTGCCGAGGACGGCTAGGTTGTTGAAGAAAAGTGATTTCTGTTAATTTAGCTTTTCCTTTTGCTTTGTTTGCTTTGTCCCACTTGTGCCTTCACGGGTTTGCTTGCTTGAGTGTGTGCAGGTAGTGCATGACCCGTAGCCAGTCGGGAGGTTTACTGCCGTTGAATCCGGAGATTGACCGCACCTGTCGCCAACTCAAGAGACAACAGCGAGCTAGACTGGCTACGGAAGAGCGCATAGAAGGCCACCTGAGTAGCGATTTTGAAGAAGAGTATGGGATGGACGGAGACTACAATCAGCACCAGGGGAATCCTCAGCAGGCTCCCCCGGTGAATCAGGTCCTGGGGAACAACCCCATACCCCAGGATCATGGAGTTCATCATCCACCGCAGCCGGGTCCCACCTTGGAGTACTACTACACTCCTCGGATTGCTGACATCCGCCCGGTCATCCTCTACCCGCCTATTCCAGCAAACAACTTCGAGATCAAGCCATGCTGGATTCAGCTCATTACATCTTCTATCCAGTTCCATGGCTTGAAGGATGAGGAGGCCAGGGTGCATCTTTCCCGTTTTCTGCAGCTGACGAACGGGTTCAAGCTGAATGGTGTCCCTGATGATGCAATCCGCCTTCATCTCTTCCCCCATTCTCTGGCGGGGAATGCTAAGAGGTGGTTGGAGACCCAGCCCCCATTGTCCATCACCTCTTGGGACGATCTGGCTGACAAGTTCGTGCACAGGTACTATCCGGCATCGAAGACTACAGAGATTCAGCGGGAGATCACTCACTTCCACCAAGAGCCAGATGAGTCACTTCGTGATGCTTGGGAGCGGTACATGGGACATTTCTGGCAGTGTCCCCATCATGGCTTCAGCGATGCATTCACAGTGGGGAACTTCTACAGTGCTCTCTCTCCAGATAGCCAGAGGGTGATTGAGTCTCTATGCCCAGGAGGGGATATTCTTATTAAGACTCCACCCGAGCTGAACCAGATGATCAGTACGTTGGCTGCCAGAGATCATTCTTGGGGACAGGGTAGCCGAGGCAGACAGTCCCGGGACCGTGGTGTGCACGCCATGGAGACCAGATCCGGGCTCGAGCAGCAGGTAGCTGAGCTAGTGCAGACATTGAAGCAGCCCAACAGTCTTATTCCGGGCAGAGGTTTGGCTACACCTCCAGTTGCTCAATGTCAGTGGTGTGAGAGCTCGAATCACTTAGTGGAAGACTGCCAGGCTATGAGGGAGTCTACTACTCCCCAAGAGCAGTTGGACTTCATCGCCAATGCTCGGCGCCTCGACCCGTACAGCAACACCTATAATGAGGGGTGGCGCCAGCATCCCAACTTCTCTTGGGGCAGCAACACCACTAAGCCACCTGGTTTCCCAGCACCAGCTGGTGGCTTTCAGCAGAGACAGCCCTTCCAGGCTCGACAGGGGCCAGCCCCACAACAGCAGCCCTACCAGCCTAGGCAGGGGCAACCATTCCAGCAGCCCCAGCGCCAGTTTGCCGAGCCAGCAGCAGCTCCGGCCCTAGATTACCGGATGACAAAGCTGGAAAATATTCTAGCTTCATTCATGACTAGCACTCAGGCTACTATCACGTCACTGGAGGCAGGTCAGCGGAACCAGGGTGCCATTTTGCAAGATCTGCAGACCCAGGTGGGCATCTTGGCCCGCCAAAACACTACCAGGGCACTGGGGACTCTGCCTGCCACCACTATCCCGAATCCTCGGGATCCTCACCAGCTCCAGCAGCTGGATGCCATTTTTACCAGGAGCGGTAAGACCATATCTGCTGATCCTGTCCCGGCCAGACAGGAGGAACCACTACCTACTTCAGCACTTCCAGCCGACGATGCAGAAGTGCGGGCGGAGAAGGAAGCTCCTGCTCCCAAGCCACAACCAGTGGTTAAGGAGCATGTACCCCAACTTCCCTTCCCCACTCGCCTACACAAGGACAAGCTGGAGACTGAGTTTGCCAAGTTTATGGCAATGTTGAAGCAGCTCAACATCAGCATACCGTTCGTGGAGGCACTGTCGAAGATGCCCAAGTATGCCAAGTTCATGAAAGACCTCCTCACCGACAAGAAGAAACTTGGGGATCTTTCGACAGTGATGCTCAGTGAGGAGTGTTCTGCTATCCTGCAGAACAAGCTGCCCGAGAAGCGAAAAGATCCAGGGAGTTTTACTATCCCTCTTACTATTGGCAGCATGCATGTAGGCAAGTCCTTGGCGGACCTAGGCGCTAGCATAAATGTCATGCCATATAAGTTGTATAAAAAGCTAGACCTAGGTGAACTTAGCCCTACTAGGATGAGCATTCAGCTGGCTGATCGTTCCATTGTGCATCCTAGGGGAATCATAGAGGATCTGCTTGTCAGTGTCGGTACATTCACATATCCTGTTGATTTTGTTATTCTTGATATACATGAGGATGTGGATGTGCCTTTGATTCTGGGTAGACCTTTTCTTGCCACCGCCAAGGCACTTATTGATGTGCATTATGGTAAACTGATCCTGCGTGCTGGGAATGAACCGGCTACCTTTTCTGTGACTGAATTTGATCACTGTGCTATGATTGCTGTCACCCCTGTGCATGCTATGTCTGATCAGGTACACGAGCCTGTCGTGTATCCTTCTGCACCTCCTATTTTGCAGGACCCTCCTATCATTCCTTCGCCGCCACTCCATCCGGCCTCGTCTCCGAACAAAAAGGTCAAGGAGGAGTGGCGGCCGAAGCAGCAGGTTGCTAAGCCTGCACGGAAGAAGAGTGGAGACCACTATGAGCTGGTCCCAACTCCTGCACCACGACCACCCTGGCCGTCCGGGTACTCACTCGCTTGCATCTTGCCAGATGGATAGGTCGAGCTGACCGATGATGGTGGTCGCATCCGTCGGGTTCATAGCCACAACCTGAAGCTGTACCTCAAGAGCGACGTAGATCCGCTCTTGGAGGCACCTGTTCCTGCACCTCCCTGAGTATCCACCATGGGCGTCCAGCTAAAAGACGGTAAAGAAGCGCTTGTGGGGAGGCAACCCCACCAAGGTTTGACTTTCTTTCTTGTGTTTTGAGTCGGATTGTAAACCGGTTTGGTTTTGGTTTGTTTTCTTTTGTTTTGGATGATGTCTTATTGGGCTGACATTGGACCTAACATTTTGGGTTTGAGCTCTTCTGTTCCCCTTTAGCTGTGCTTGGCTTGACTGGTCCGCTTCCAGTCCCTTGCAGTCCGTGCATACCGGTAACATCGTTCCCCTTTCCTTTCCCTCTTCTCCATTGAGGGCAATGTCGATCTTAAGTGTGGGGGGGGGGGGGGGTGTTTATCTTTTGACTGCGTTAGATCTGTTTGTGTGCTTGGAGCCTAGTCCACTGTCCAAATTTTTAAATTTGAGGGCTCCAAGTACGTGTTCCTTGCAATTGCCTGCTCAGTATGCTTTGAATTGACAGTCTTTATAGTAATATGCAACCTAGGGAGGTAGTGTAGCACTATGGAGGATGTTGATGCATTTAAGAAGTCTCATTTCTTCTTCATATTGTGTTGGTTGATTGAGTGAATTAGTGATCTTAGGACCCTTGAATTGTGTGGTGTTGTGGACTCTCTACCTGTCATGGACTCTTGTTTCATGTTTTGAGTTTAACAGGTGCTCGAAAATGTGCTTCAAAATAACGTCTCCCGTGCGAATAGGGCGAAAGTGTGTAAGGGGAGACGGGAATTCGTTCCCAATTTCCACCTACTACCTCCAGCCCCCTTACATGTCTTTCCCCCGCACGAGGCTCGAGACATCCGCTCCTGGCATGGCCAGTAAGAGCAAGTTGGGACCCTTGAAAAAAAAAGAAAAGAAAATAACAGAAAACAAGCAAAACAGAAAAGAAAAGGGGTTCCAACCATCTTCAAGAAGAAAATAGAGCACCTTGAAAAATGTGAGTCCATGATCTTTTGTTTTTGAGAATCTCTTCACCCACAATTCATTTGTCCTCTGTTCACTATTTGCCATGATGCCGACTGGATACTAGTGCTCTCGCCGAAGAAGCTATGAGATGACTTGTGTGTCGGTTGACCTCGTAAGTTGCTAAATGATCTAAGAAGTCCTCTACCTACGATCTGGGGTGTTTGTTGCTATAGAGGTCTGAAGAGTTGCATTGGTTTGAGTTAGGTTTGCTTGGGGACAAGCAAACAGTTAAGTGTGGGGGGATTTGATGACTCGGTATTTGCACATGTTTTCCCCTTTGTTTCTTGATTGTTTGAGCTTGAATTATTGCGTCTTTGGCCTATTTTATGCTAGGTTGTGTTCCTTTGTCCCATTTCAGGTCCTAGCACATAAAGTGAAGCATAGGCGCAAGTTTCAAGTCAATCAGAGATCAATTGACGATTCGAGAGAAGAAACTCAGGCATGACCTGAAGAAGAATGGATTTATACCTCACTTTATGGACAAAGAATCATGCAAATTGTTATGAAACGAAATAGGACGAGACTACGAGCGTCTGGGATCAAACGGCGACTGATTCGGAGTCCGGACGAGGGAGAAACGAAGCATTAAACAGAGGCTGAGCAAGCCACACGGGTAGAGCAGAAAATCTGCACGGCCGTGCAAGGTGAGCTGCACGGCCGTTTGGCCTGCCCGTGCAAGAAGCCTGGAATTCAACTAATTGATGCGCTGCGTTTTGACTCGCACGGGCAACTGGGTGAGCCACACGGCCGTGCGGCCTGCCCGTGCGAGTCGGGATTTTCTGATTTTAAACAGATTTTCAGCCACAAGTCGAGGGGATTCGAGTTTTAGAGAGAGAGATCAGTTCCTAGAGAGAGAAAGCGACGAACAAGAGTCTCCAAGCGCCCTAGCTTGATCTTCAACACCATTGGAGGCCAGTTTGAGCTTGGAGAAGTGCCGATCAACGTCCAGGAGCAGGAATCCATCCTTCACAGTATGAATTCCGCGTCTGATTCTGCTTTTGCTTCTGTCTCCATGGAGTAGTTCTCCCATTCATCTGGGTATGGAGAACCCTAGATTTGCATGTTAGGCTTTGATTGTATGAACCCAAGTACTGATTCTATGATTTGATTATATTCGATTGAGGTTTGAATGATTGAATGACTTGAATCCTGATCAAGTTCCTGTTGTTTCTGCTTTAACCTAGAATGAGAATATATGCCTAGGTCGATAGAGTATCCTTGATTGAAGGTAGGGAGTTGGTGACTTTAGTCGAGGAGCCAACTCACTATTCTGTACCGGATTTACTCTGGTAGTGGAGGTTTTGTTTGTTAAGGCCTCAATCTGTTTACTCCGGTGGAGGTTAGTCGCCCGCTAGAGACTCAGATTGAGAGGGTCTGAAGACCTTTAGTCGAGACTTCAGGCTGTTTAAGAACCTTCTGCAGTATAACTATCATAGAAACTGAACTTGGTAATTACAATCCGGCTTAACTGCAGTCTAGGGGGAACCATATCCGGGTGACCTCTCTTAACCTGAATACAACAGTTTACTTGCTTTGTTTGATAGTTTAGACTTGCATTCCAGTTTCATTGCTAGATACCAAGAATTCACTGAGTAGTCATCAGATCTAGGACCCGGGTTGATAATTAAACCCAAACCTGCTATACTACGCTTTAGGAAGTGGTTTCACTTGGCCAATTCCTGGAGTGACAGTAGAAGTGAGTCACCCTACCCACCCACTGACTCGACTCTACTGTCACCCTAGGAATTGGCCAAGTGCAACCACTCCCTAAAGCGTAGTATAGCGGGTTTAGGTTTATATGTCAACCCGGGTCCTAGATCTGATGACTACTCAGTGAATTCTTGTTATCTAGCAATGAAACTGGAATGCAAGTCTAAACTACCAAACAAACAAAGCAAGTAAACTGGTTGTATTCAGGTTAAAGAGGTCACCCGGATATGGTTCCCCCTAGACTGCAGTTAAGCCGGATTGTAATTACCAAGTTCAGTTTCTATGATAGTTATACTGCGGAAGGTTCTTAAACAGCCTGAAGTCTCGACTAAACGTCTTCAGACCCTCTCAATCTGAGTCTCTAGCGGGCGACTAACCTCCACCGGAGTAAACAGATTGAGGCCCTAAGAACAAAACCTCCACTACCGGAGTAAATCCGGTACAGAATAGTGAGTTGGTTCCTCGACTAAAGTCACCAACTTCCTACCTTCAATCAAGGATACTCTATCAACCTAGGCAGATATTCTCATTCTAGGTTAAAGCAGAAACAACAGGAATTTGATCAGGATTCAAGTCATTCAATCATTAAAACCTCAATCGAATATAATCAATCACAGAATCAGTACTTGGGTTCATACAATCAAAGCCTAACATACAAATCTAGGGTTCTCCATACCCAGATGAAAGGGAGAACTACTCCATGGAGAAAGAAGCAAAAGCAGAATCAGACGCGGAATTCATACTGCGAAGGATGGATTCCTGCTTCTGGACGTTGATTGGCACTTCTCCAAGCTCAAGCTGGCCTCCAATGGTGTTGAAGATCAATCTAGGGCACTTGGGAACTCTTGCTCGTCACTTTCTCTCTCTAGAAGTCGTTCTATCTCTCAAAAACTCGAATCCCCCTGACTTGTGGCTGAAAATCTGCTTAAAAGCATCAGTGGCCAAAGCACGATCGAGGGCACGGCCGTGCTTTGCCTGACTCCGCCCGTGTTTCGGCCAGTGTTTAATTACACGGCCAGTAGCTGGTGGAAACACGGCCGTGCTTCGCGATGTACACGGCCGTGCTTTGACTGAACACGGCCGTGCTTCAGTGCCCGTGTTTGCAACTGAATTGGCCAAACCAAATTTGCTCTCGGCATAAAAAGCACGGCCAGCAGTACACGGCCGTGTAATGCCTTAGGCTGCCCGTGTTTTGGCTCCAGCTCACCGAAATGACTTCCGAATGCCCCGAAACTCGCGCTCAGCCTTCCCTTTGACACCTGGGACCTGAAACATGACAAAATAGCACAACCCGGCGTAAAATAGGCCACAACACACGACTATGCCCCTCAAACGGATAAGAACTAGGGCCGCAAACATGTGCAATTACATCGTTATCAAACTCCCCCACACTTAACCGTTTGCTTGTCCCCAAGCAAACCTAACTCAAACCAATGCAACTCTCCAGACCTTTATAGCAACAAACAACCCAGATCGTAAGTAGAGGACTTCCTAGATCATTTAGCAACTTACGAGGTCAACCGACGCACAAGTCATCTCATAGCTTCCTCGGAGAGTCGGCATCATGGCAAACAGTGAACAGAGGACAAATGAATCGTGGATGAAGAGATTCTCAAAAACAAAAGATCATGGACTCACATTTTTCAAGGTGCTCTATTTTCTGCTTAAAGATGGTTGGAACCCCCTTTTTTTTTTTTTTTTTTTTTTTTCTGTTTTGCTTGTTTTCTGTTGTTTTTCTTTTCTTTTCTTTTCAAGGGTCCCAACCTGCTCTTACCGGCCATGCCAGGAGCCGATGTCTCGAGCCTCGTGCGGGGGAAAGACATGTAAGGAGGCTGGAGGTAGTAGGTGGAAATTGGGAACGGATTCCCGTCTCCCCTTACACACTTTCGCCCTATTCACACGGGAGACGTTATTTTGAAGCACATTTTCGAGCACCTGTTAAACTCAAAACATGATACAAGAGTCCATGACAGGCAGAGAATCCACAACACCACACAATTCAAGGGTCCTAAGATCACTAATTCACTCAATCAACCAACTCAATATGAAGAAGAAATGAGACTTCTTAAATGCATCAACATCCTCCATAGTGCTACACTACCTCCCTAGGTTGCATATTACTATAAAGACTGTCAATTCAAAGCATACTGAGCAGGCAATTGCATGGAAACACGTACTTGGAGCCCTCAAATTTAAAAATTTGGACAGTGGACTAGGCTCCAAGCACACAAACAGATCTAATGCAGTCAAAAGATAAACATCCCCCCACACTTAAGATCGACATTGCCCTCAATGGAGAAGAGGGAAGGAAAAGGGGAACGATGTTACCGGTATGCACGGACTGCAGGGGACTGGAAACGGGCCAGTCGGGGCAAGCACAGCCAAAGAGGAACATAAGAGCTCAAACACAATATGTTAAGTTCAATGGTCAGCCCAATAAAATATCATCCAAACCAAAAGAAAACAACCCAAACCCACACCGGGTTACAATCCGACTCAAAACACAAGAAAGAAAATCAAACCGTGGTGGGGTTGCCTCCCCACAAGCGCTTCTTTACCGTCTTATTAGCTGGACGCCCATGGTGGATACTCAGGGCGGTGCAGGAACAGGTGCCTCCAAGAGCGGATCCACGTCGCTCTTGAGGTACAGCTTCAGGTTGTGGCCATGCACCCGACGGATGCGACCACCATCATCAGTCAGCTCGACCTGCCCATCTGGCAAGATGCAGGCGAGTGAGTACCCAGACGGCCAGGGTGGTCGTGGTGCAGGAGGTGGGACCAGCTCATAGTGGTCTCCACTCTTCTTTCGTGCAGGCTTAGCAACCTGCTGCTTCGGCCGCCACTCCTCCTTGAGTTTTTTGTTCGGAGGCGAGGCTGGATGGAGTGGCGGCGAAGGAATAATAGGAGGGTCCTGCAAAATAGGAGGTGCAGAAGGATACACGACAGGCTCGTGTACCTGATCAGACATAGCATGCACAGGCGTGACATCAATCATAGCACAGTGATCAAACTCAGTCACAGAAAAAGTAGCCTGTTCATTCCCAGCACGCAAGATCAATTTACCATCATGCACATCAATAAGTGCCTTGGCGGTGGCAAGAAATGGCCTACCTAGAATCAAAGGCACATCCACATCCTCATGCACATCAAGAATAACGAAATCAACAGGGTATGTGAATGCACCGACACTGACAAGCAGATCCTCTATGATTCCCCTAGGATGCACTATGGAACGATCAGCCAGCTGAATGCTCATCCTAGTAGGGCTAAGTTCACCTAGGTCTAGCTTCTTATACAACTTATATGGCATGACGTTTATGCTAGCGCCTAGGTCCGCCAAGGACTTGCCTACATGCATGCTGCCAATAGTAAGAGGGATAGTAAAACTCCCTGGATCCTTGCGCTTCTCGGGCAGCTTGTTCTGCAGGATAGCAGAACACTCCTCACTGAGCATCAGTGTCGAAAGATCCCCAAGTTTCTTCTTGTTGGTGCAAATATCTTTCATGAACTTGGCATACTTGGGCATCTTCGATAGTGCCTCCATGAACGGTATGCTGATGTTGAGCTGCTTCAACATTGCCATGAACTTGGCAAACTCAGTCTCCAGCTTGTCTTTGTGTAGGCGAGTGGGGAAGGGAAGCTGGGGTACATGCTCCTTAACCACTGGTTGTGGCTTGGGAGCAGGGGCTTCCTTCTCCACCCGCACTTCTGCATCGTCGGCTGGAAGTGTTGAAGCAGGCAGTGGTTCCTCCTGTCTGGCCGGGACAGGATCAGTAGATATGGTCTTACCGCTCCTGGTAAAAATGGCATCCAGCTGCTGATGCTGGTGAGGATCTCGAGGATTCGGAACAGTGGTGGCAGGCAGAGTCCCCAGTGCCCTGGTAGTGTTTTGGCGGGCCAAGATGCCCACCTGGGTCTGCAGATCCTGCAAAATGGCACCCTGGTTCCGTTGACCTGCCTCCAGTGATGTGATAGTAGCCTGGGTGCTAGTCATGAATGAAGCTAGAATGAATTCCAGCTTCGTCATCCTGTCATCTGGGGCCGGAGCTGCTGCTGGCTCGGCAAACTGGCGCTGGGGCTGCTGGAATGGCTGCCCCTGCCTGGGCTGGTAGGGCTGCTGCTGTGGGTCTGGCCCCTGGCGAGCCTGGAAGGGCTGCCTCTGCTGAAAACCACCTGCTGGTGCTGGGAAACCAGGTGGTTTAGTGGTGTTGCTGCTCCAGGCGAAGTTGGGATGCTGGCGCCACCCCTCATTATATGTGCTGCTGTATGGATCGAGGCGCCTCGCATTGGCGATGAAGGCCAACTGCTCCTGGGGTGTGGTAGACTCCCACATAGCCTGGTAGTCCTCCACTAGGTGATTGGAGCTCTCACACCACTGACATTGAGCTACTGGAGGTGTAGCCAAACCTCTGCCCGGAATCAGACTGTTGGGCTGCTTCAATGTCTGCACTAGCTCAGCTACCTGCTGCTCGAGCCCGGATCTGGTTTCCATGGCGTGCACACCACGGTCCCGGGACTGTCTGGCTCGGCTACCCTATCCCCAAGAATGATCTCTGGCAGCCAAAGTACTGATCATCTGGTTCAGCTCGGGTGGAGTTCTGGTGAGAACATCCCCTCCTGGGCATAAAGACTCAATCACCCTCTGGCTATCTGGAGAGAGGGCACTGTAGAAGTTCCCCACTGTGAATGCATCACTGAAGCCATGATGGGGGCACTGCCAGAAATAGCCCATGTACCGCTCCCAAGCATCACGAAGTGACTCATCTGGCTCTTGGTGGAAGTGAGTGATCTCCCGCTGGATCTCTGTAGTCTTCGATGCCGGATAGTACCTGTGCACGAATTTGTCAGCCAGATCATCCCAAGAGGTGATGGACAATGGGGGCTGGGTCTCCAACCACCTCTTAGCATTCCCCGCCAGAGAATGGGGGAAGAGATGAAGGCGGATTGCATCATCCGGGACACCATTCAGCTTGAACCCGTTCGTCAGCTGCAGAAAATGGGAAAGATGCACCCTGGCCTCCTCATTCTTCAAGCCATGGAACTGGATTGAAGATGTGATGAGCTGAATCCAGCATGGCTTGATCTCGAAGTTGTTTGCTGGGATTGGCGGGTAGAGGATGACCAGGCGGATGTCAGCAATCCGCGGAGTCTAGTAGTACTCCAAGGTGGGACCCGGCTGCGGTGGATGATGAACTCCATGATCCTGGGGTATGGGGTTGTTCCCCAGGACCTGATTCACCGGGGGAGCCTGCTGAGGATTCCCCTGGTGTTGGTTGTAGTCTCCGTCCATCCCGTGCTCTTCTTCAGAATCGCTGCTCAGGTGGCCGTCTATGCGCTCTTCCGTAGCCAGTCTAGCTCGATGTTGTCTCCTGAGCTGGCGACAGGTGCGGTCAATCTCTGGATTCAACGGCAGTAAACCTCCCGACTGGCTACGGGTCATGCACTACCTGCACACACTCAAGCAACAAACCCGTGAAGGCACAAGTGGGACAAAGAAAACAAAGCAAAAAGAAAAGCTAAATTAACAGAAATCACTTTTCTTCAACAACCTAGCCGTCCCCGGCAACGGCGCCAAAAACTTGACTCGACTCTACTGTCACCCTAGGAATTGGCCAAGTGCAACCACTCCCTAAAGCGTAGTATAGCGGGTTTAGGTTTATATGTCAACCCGGGTCCTAGATCTGATGACTACTCAGTGAATTCTTGTTATCTAGCAATGAAACTGGAATGCAAGTCTAATCTACCAAACAAACAAAGCAAGTAAACTTGTTGTATTCAGGTTAAAGAGGTCACCCGGATATGGTTCCCCCTAGACTGCACTTAAGCCGGATTGTAATTACCAAGTTCAGTTTCTATGATAGTTATACTGCGGAAGGTTCTTAAACAGCCTGAAGTCTCGACTAAAGGTCTTCAGACCCTCTCAATCTGAGTCTCTAGCGGGCGACTAACCTCCACCGGAGTAAACAGATTGAGGCCCTAAGAACAAAACCTCCACTACCGGAGTAAATCCGGTACAGAATAGTGAGTTGGTTCCTCGACTAAAGTCACCAACTCCCTACCTTCAATCAAGGATACTCTATCAACCTAGGCAGATATTCTCATTCTAGGTTAAAGCAGAAACAACAGGAATTTGATCAGGATTCAAGTCATTCAATCATTAAAACCTCAATCGAATATAATCAATCACAGAATCAGTACTTGGGTTCATACAATCAAAGCCTAACATACAAATCTAGGGTTCTCCATACCCAGATGAAAGGGAGAACTACTCCATGGAGAAAGAAGCAAAAGCAGAATCAGACGCGGAATTCATACTGCGAAGGATGGATTCCTACTTCTGGACGTTGATTGGCACTTCTCCAAGCTCAAGCTGGCCTCCAATGGTGTTGAAGATCAATCTAGGGCACTTGGGAACTCTTGCTCGTCACTTTCTCTCTCTAGAAGTCGTTCTATCTCTCAAAAACTCAAATCCCCCTGACTTGTGGCTGAAAATCAGCTTAAAAGCATCAGTGGCCAAAGCACGGTCGAGGGCACGGCCGTGCTTTGCCTGACTCCGCCCGTGTTTCGGCCAGTGTTTAATTACACGGCCAGTAGCTGGTGGAAACACGGCCGTGCTTCGCGATGTACACGGCCGTGCTTTGACTGAACACGGCCGTGCTTCAGTGCCCGTGTTTGCAACTGAATTGGCCAAACCAAATTTGCTCTCGGCATAAAAAGCACGGCCAGCAGTACACGGCCGTGTAATGCCTTAGGCTGCCCGTGTTTTGGCTCCAGCTCACCGAAATGACTTCCGAATGCCCCGAAACTCGCGCTCAGCCTTCCCTTTGACACCTGGGACCTGAAACATGACAAAATAGCACAACCCGGCGTAAAATAGGCCACAACACACGACTATGCCCCTCAAACGGATAAGAACTAGGGCCGCAAACATGTGCAATTACATCGTTATCACCCACCCACTATCACAATCCACATACATAATAGCTTCTTCCTCACCCCCTCTTCTCACCCACCAATTTCCCCTTCTTCTCCCCCCCTAACTCGTTTTCCGACCACAGATGCCAACTCCAGCTTTCGAATGTCCTCTTGGACAAAGTCAAGCGATGCCACGATTGGATTAACGCTCTCCTGTTGGATTAAATCTAGAATTAGGTCGATTAGAGGAGTGGAAGGACTCTGGCTAGGGATGTAAATTTGGGATAGGTTCGATTTGGGAGATGATCTCGACGAGGGTGAGGGAGACTTCACCATTGACTTCAAGGAAAGCGCCGAGAAAGCTCCTGAGTAGTGAGCACAAGGAATGGCATCCCGCTGCTGTGCACAAGCATTAAATGGCGATTTCTGTTTTTTTTCTTCTTCTTCTTCTCGAACTCCACAGGAAACAAACCCAGTATTCCTCTCCATCTATTTGTTTCCTCTTTGGAATCAATTATTGTTGTTGCATGTCGGAAAACCATAGCTTATCGTCGATGATGGGTTCGTCTTTATTGGTTCCTCAGCTTCACCATTAAACGAAAGAGAAGGCAGAGAAGGCCAAGAAATGGAATAAAGAAAGAAGAGGAAAGAGAAAGAAAAGGGGCTATATTGGTAAAGGGGAAGGATAAAACGAGACAATTGCAATTGTCTACCCCCCACCCAGGTAATTGCAATTGCTCCATAACGGAACAATCTGAATTCCCCCATGTACAATTGTCTCGTTCTCATTTTATTTTGCCAAATGGGTCAATTTGTCTCAATTGTCTCAAAATGAGTCAATTGGGTACAATTGCTCCATCACATTGCTTCATCCAAACAACCCCTAAAACCTTTTTCCCTCATAGCCTCAAGTCTCAACCCGACCATATTTTATTTGCGGTGAAGGGAGGTCAAGCTTCCCATTCTACTTTTTTTTATCACAGTTCCCATTCTACTATTAGTGATCAATTTTGTTTGTACAATACTAGTGATTAGATCAAGTATATGTCCAAAGTAACATCATCGATTTGCTAATCTCCCCCAATTAACATACTAACGACTCATTGTTGTTAATTAGAGACTAGATTATGGCCTGGCCCCTTGACCGGGTAAGTTGAGATATGATTGATGGGTGATATATGTATCACACACGTATTAATAGAGACAATTTAATTATCTCAAGAAACATACAATTATGATCGATAAGATGTGTTGTTTGAACTTTTTAGCAATTAGCACCGAGATTTAATCTCATAGTATAGAGAAAGTGAAGCACTCGACATACTTGTATCATTTTGGTATTCAATACTCATTCATACTTCTTTAGAGTTATGTTTGTTGTGAATTTATTTGTAGCACTATGGACTTTAATTCCTCATCTCAAATGTGCTCCATTTTCTCATTTCAACATTTGAACTTTAGGTTAAAGCATAAGGGAAGATGATTAAATATAAATTGTCTTCTATGATTGCTAACCTTTAACCTAAGCATCATTGATCTCTTACATACTTGTGACATCAACGGATGATTTTCAACTCCTCATTGTTCTTAATTAGAGATTTCAATACTATTATGGTCGGGTTGATTTGAAAATGAAAGGAATTAGATTACCTCCAGAAAATTCAACTCCTATGCTCGACTTCCATTGAAATGTGTACTTTTACCATTTCCTATGCTTGACTTCAATTGAAATGTGTACTTTTACCATTTTCGAACATGGGTGAATGTTGTCCTAATAAGTTTCTTTTACAGTGTAACCAATATGATACTGGTATGACAAAATACTCGATGAATTGTGTAACGGCGTGTACCTAAAACTTCTAGTCTTGGTGGCACAAGATGTACGAAAGTCTAAATGTTCAATGGCGCCAAAGTTCAAAAATATCCTGAATGGATTGGAACCCAACTCAAAACAAGATATTCCCAGTTACCTTTCATCGATAAATATAGAAGGCTAGGTTTCTGTTGATGCCAAGCTAAAATAGCCGACCTCGAACGTTGTAGAGTCCGGAGAGCATTGACCTTTTGGTTGCCGTTGAATTCCAGCTTTCGAGATGAGCACCTGCAAAAAAGGACCCGCCGGTTGTGATCGGCTGGGACCTTCTCCAAAGCTCAAATCAGTATTTGGAAATAACCGGGAGAGGCATATTGAGCCGGCTCTAGGACGAAAGAAAAAGAAATTTCGGGGTTGGAAGTTGCCAATTCGCCGAGAAGAAGTTCTTCGGGAATTCCCCTTTTCCGATCTCGTTCAGAGAAAGTGAGTTCTCTCGATTTGAGATGGATTGCCGAGGAAACATAAATGAGCGTCCTATTTATAGGTGCCTCCTGCTCCTGGCATGGATGGCGTGTCCTTTATTAATTTAAAAAGATTTTAAAAAAGAACTCACCTTGATGCGTGTACACCTATTTCATCTCATCATACTCACACCTTACGTGCATAACAAATGAAAGGGGATGGGTGGTTTGACTTAGATGGAAGGCCTGCATAACAATAGATTAATAGGATTTGGTTGTTTGGGAATTAAGTTTTCGTGTCTCACTAACAGCTATGGGTTAGTAATTAATTTGAACATAATGGAATGGGTTGCTGGAGTTATCACCTTGTGCATTTACATTAGCTTTGCATGCATGTGATGGTGTATTCTCCCCATTTCTTCATGTGTAATTACAAAAAAGAAAGTAATATAACCAATTTGGTGAGATAATTGGTTGATGGAACACATACAACCTCTTGCTACGTGTATGTAATGGGCAAAGCTGTCAAGTGAGGGGTTAATTAGAGGGACTAGGCTTATGACTAGGTTAGCCTATATACACGTGTAATCAAAGTGAAGTTGGGGTTTTTATTTGTGGGTAAAGGTTGCCATTCACCAAACTTAACAAAGATGGCTTGCTCTTCTGTTCCATGTAAATGAGATAGGTGGAGGGAAGCAAATAAGGATTTCCATCCATGTGGAACTATGGTGGTTATTATTATATGTAGGTGGTAGCTAGGGTAAATGGTGGATGGTGATTGTTTTGCTTCCTTTTCACCTTTAGCCACGTAGGTAGTATCCTGTCAATATTTCTTTACCCTTTGTCCATGTGGAAAGAATAGGTTGTGAATGACGATTGGTGGATGGAGTAGAAGAAGTGGGAAGCAATTTATTTGACCCATCAGATGCCCCCTTGCTAATATGGGTGATTGAAGATCCCACATTAGTAAAACAAACACTATAAATAGAAGGGTTTGCTTCATCCTTCTAAACTCTCCATCTTTCTACACTCCCCGTCCATCTCTCGTCTGAGCAGAAGAAAATTCCACCACCCTTCCATCGTATCTCATTTCCTCACCATATTCCTCCATTAATAGGCAAAGTTTTGTGAGCTAAGGAAATCTAGCTTTCGACTTCATTCCAATCGTGCATCCACCAAGCTAGGTAATGCTTTCTCCCCCAATCTATGTTAATTATTGCTTTATTTTATTTTATTTTATTTTATTTTATGCATGCATGGTTCATTTAGGTTACTCACACAGGTTTGCTTTTTAATATATTTTTATCCATGAATATTAAATAGTGTTACATTTTGTGGTAGGAGGATGGAGAGAGAACAACCATCAAGTTCTCGTGCGGAGGTCCCTACATCACATGGATTACCTGATTTGTCCATGTCGCTACGTATAAACCCCGACTTAGAGATGGTACGTGGAAGAGAGGAGCAGCTAATCCAAGGAGAAAGATCATCAGCTTTAGGTCGACGAAGCTCATCATCATTTTCCCTCCGACCATGGCGTGGTATGTTTCCCTCCATATCCCAAGTGTCAGAGTTCACCAGGATAGGTCCAGGTGGACGCTTTAATCGGGACGCAGGTTGGGTGAATGAAACTTTGGTAAATTTTGATATGCCACGTCACTGGGAGTATGCGATCCCGACACGACGTTCTACTCCAGGTAACCGTGGTACGAGATGGAAGGCTGTATATGCAGAGTCTCTTGATTACGGGCTTCGTTTCCCCTTTCCTGCGTGGTTATGTGAGGTAATGCAGAGATCCCATTTGACGGCGAGTACTATGACACCTGGTTTTTGGACGCTTGTAGCTGCTTTTCGGTTGGGTTGTCATAGAGCCGGTGTATCACCTTCACCGGAATTATTCCATGCATGTTTTTATCTTCATGAAGAGAGTACGGGATGGTGCCTTCACCGTAGATCTATAGCATTTGGTCTCGCAACTCGGTATGGTCGTGCACACCGAGGTTGGGAACGTGAGTTTTTCTACTTCCTTCCAGCTCCAGGTGAAATTTCTTATAATGGTGTGGAGCTCCCTTCCGAGTGGAGGACTATCGATTTGGGGGGATTTCAGAGACATGAAGTGCGGAAAGAACACTTAGCACGAGGAGAGCTAGCTACCCAAGTGAGAAGGATATAAGAAGCGGGGTCGATTGATATTGAGACTCCAGAAGCACGGGCTGTCCTATTCTTCAGGGTCTATAATGATGGTACGTTCGTGTGTTGTTTGTTCATATGCTAGTGTTACCTCATTACTTATGTGTTATTTTTTTGCAGCCTACTCGCGTGTTAGAGCATGTATGGAAATTCAGGAGAATGCCTTATTTTCCACGAGGTTACCATTGCATATCTCTAGCCCACAGGGTGGAGTGGTGATCCGTGAAATTCCCGAGGTTTCTAGACCAGCAGTGTCGACGTTGATTGGTGGTCCAAACAAGCGAGCGCGTCTTTTGTCTCCAAGTCGAGACAAGAGTTCTGAGCCAACTTTTAGAAGAGATTATGAAGTCGGCAGGTCGAGTCGTCCCACCCGTGAGGGTGAGCAGAACCGCCCTCAAATGGCAAGGATATTGCAAAGGTCAGAGCTTCGTCCTAGAACTGATCCCGGTACTTCGGGTGGAGGACGAATAAATGCTCCGCCAATTTTGAACTATCGCAATTTGTGTGATATGGGAGGTCAACTTCCTTCTCTTGAAGGCGAGGCTGCTGGCCTTTGCTTTGCGAGATCGCAAAACCAGGTAATTTTACTATATTTTAGATAATGTACGTTATGATGAATTAACTAACCATAGTATTTACTGCAGATGAATCAATACGCCGCGGAGATGGAGAGGCGTGTGGCGAAAGCCAGGTCAGAGATTGGGACAGCTCAGCAAAATGCAGCGTGCGCGGGGCATGATCTTCGCAGCCAGAATCGAAAGTTGGAGGAAGCCAGGGATCATGCTGACAAGCTCCAGACACTCCTCCAGGAGTCTCAAAGTCAGGCGACGATCAATTCAAAGAAGCTCCAAATCATAGAAGCTTCAGAAGTAGCGTTGCTGCAGGAGATGACACGGCTTAAGGAAGAGCATGCGGCCGAGAAAGAAGTTCTTATGACGGAGCACGATCATGCTCGTGCAGAGGTAGTAGAATTATGACGTCAAGTGCAACAAGCATCAGGGGAAGCATTAGGAGGTGCCATACTCTCAGATGATCCATGTGATATACTTCCAGAGGCTGAGTCAGACGAGGCACGCATATGGAGAGAGACAGATACCAGAGTCGGGGCAGTTTCATCTAGGGAGGCGGTGATCCAACACAACACCAACGAAATTGAGCCTCTTAGTGCAACACCACTGTTTGGCACGGATTCTGCGACCCAGTCCTTTCTTGCTGCCATGGATAGCCCAGTTCCGATAGAGCTAGCGATATCTGCTAAGCACGCCTGGGTATGTATGGGTGAAATACTTGGTTTTGATCCGCATATGTGAGATAGCGTAGCTTTGTAGCGGTAGCATATTTTTTCCCGATATAGGTTGTATCTTGCTCTGCATATGTATTCGGGTATATCACTTATGTATATAGTAGTTTCCATAGATATGTAGTCGTGTATATTGCCTATGTACATATAGTAGTTTGCCATAAATATGTAGCCGTGTATTTTGCGTCGTACATTTCAGCGGCTTTTAATAAAACTAGGTGGTGACGTATCACCTTTTTATTTCAAACCTTCTGTACATGTCGCAACAAACACGTGATACATATTATGGCATATACTATGTACATATTATGGCATACTCGGTACATATTATGGCGTAAAGTATCTTCGAAGGTGCATGGCATTCCATGCGCGGGGAATGTTTCGGCCATTAGCATCAGAAAGTTTGACAGTGTTGGGACCGACCACTTTGCGTACTATGTAGGGCCCTTCCCATGGTGGATTGAACTTTCCCAAGCTTGTTTTGTGATAAAAGTTGCGAAGGAGAACCCATTCACCTTCGTGTATCGGTCACTACTTTATTTTGGTATTGTAGTAACGAGCTACTTGTTCCTTCATGGTTGTCATTCTGAGGAGAGCGTCTTCTCGACGTTCTTCGATGGGATGGAGGTCATGAATGAGCTCATGTTGATTCTCGTCGGGGTGGAATGCTTCAATTCGGTAAGAGCAAAGCTCTGTTTCCACAGGAATTACTGCATCCACGCCGAAGGTCAGGGCATAGGGCGACTCTCATGTGGAGATTTTATAGGTCGTGCGATGGGCCCAAAGAAAATGAGAAAGTTCTTCCGCCCACTTTCCTTTTGCTTCATTCAGTCGAGTCTTTATCCCCAGAGGATGTTTTTATTGGCTGATTATGCTTGTCCATTAGCTTGAGGATAGGCAACAAAGGCATAGCGGAGGAGGATGCCATATCGTGCACAGTATGCTTGAAGATTCTCACTTGTGAACTGTGTCCCTTGATCGAGGATGATGGTGTGGGGAACACTAAAGCGACAAATGATGTTTTCCCATAAGAATTTCTCGACTTGTTGGGCCGTTAGCCCAGTAATGGCTCTAGCTTCGACCCATTTTGTGAAGTAGTCGATTGCCACAATGAGCCATTTTTTCGTCCCGGGGCTTCAGGAAATGGTCCTAAGAAGTCCATTCCCCATTGGGAGAATGGCCATGGACTTATATTTCCTTGCATTGGCCCAGGCGGTGCATGTGGCACTTGGGCAGCAATCTGGCATTTGATACAAGATTTGACGTAGTCTCGTGTATCTCGGCGCATAGTAGGCCAGTAGTATCCCTGCCGGAGAAGGATTTTCTCGAGACTTCGTGGGCCAGCGTGCATTCCACATGATCCGTCGCGAGTTTCACGGACGACAAAATTTGCTTCCCCTTCGCCAAGGCACCGGAGGTACGGGCCAACAAAGCCTTTTTTTTGTAGAGTACACCTTCAATGAGGAGGTAGCGAGGAGCACGCCTCCGAAGTTTCATGGATTCTCTAGGGTTAGTGGGTAGAAGGTCATGTTGGAGATACTCTGTGACGGGTGTGCGCCAATCTTGTGGGGTTGATGATGAGATAATCGGAACGCACAACAAATGAGGGCGACACTCAACTACCACATTCCTGTCATCGGGGAAGTTTCTGGCGGAGGCAAGCTTCGAGAGAGCATCCGCATGGATATTCTCTTCTCGTGATACGTGTTTTTATCTCAACATGTGCAAACTTGGCTATACTAGTCCGAGCGGCGTTGACATAGGCGGTTAGTGCGGGTTCACGAGCCTCGTATGCCCCCAGAACCTGGTTGACGACAAGGGCAGAGTCTGAGTGCACCAATATTCGTTGGACTCCTAGTTCTTGCGCCATGGTCAAGCCAGCTAGGAGCGCTTCATATTCAGCAGCATTATTAGTTCTGGAAGTTGTGAAGCGGACAACCAGCTCATGGGTAACATCCAATGGACTGATGAGAAGAACTCCTGCTCCAGAGCGACTTTGCTTGAAGCTCCATCCACAAATAGCCTCCATGTTTCTGACTCGGAAGGTGTGTTAGCTCGAATTCCCTCAGCCACAAAGTCAGCAAGCACCTGTGATTTGATGGTTGTACGAGGGAGGTAAGTGATATCATACTCACTTAATTCAATGGGCCAGTTGATTATTCGACCCGCTACGTACATACGTTGGAGTAGCCTTCGAAGTGGCAATTGTGTGAAAACACAAATAGCGTGACTCTGGAAGTATGGGCGTAGCTTTCTGGAGGCCACGACCACAGCTAAAGCAGCCTTTTCAACGGGCGAATACCTGGTCTCACCATCAAGTAGAGTTTTACAAGTATAATATATAGGATGTTCCGTGTTGTCAGCATCTCGGCGAAGAAGTACCGAGCTCACTGCCTTCTCGGACACGGCGAAATACATGAAAAGGGTTTCATTATTCACCGGGCAGAAAGTACCGGAGGTGTCACCAGAAATTCTTTGAGCTTAGTAAAAGCTTTTTCGCACTCAGGTGTCCACTCAAAGTGTTTCCCAGCACCCTTCAAAGTGGCAAAGAATGGGGCACAACGATCGCCAGCACGGGAGATAAACCGATTGAGTGCGGCGATGCGACCGGTGAGAACTTGTACTTATTTGCCTCTGGCTGGGGAGAACATTTGGAGTATGGCATCAATTTGTCGAGGGTTGGCCTCGATCCCAGGCCGGGTTACCATAAACCCTAAGAACTTTCCAGCAGTCGCCCCAAAAACGCACTTCTTAGGGTTGAGGCGAAGGGCATATGCACGAAGTGTGTTGAATGTTTCTCTAAGGTGTTCTAGATGCTCGTTGATACTGTTACTTTTTACCAAGATATCATCAACGTAGGCTTCCAGGTTCCGTCCAATTTGACATGAGAAGACACGATCAACCATTCGGTGATAGGTGGCTCCAACATTCTTTAAGCCAAAAGGCATAACTTTGTAGTGGTAATTACCAATCGGGGTCATGAATGCCGTTCTTTCTTGATCTTCCTTCTTCATGGGAATCTGGTGATAACCAGAGAACATGTCGAGGAAAGAAAGAAAGCAGTGTCCAGAGGTAGCATCAATCAATCGGTCAATTTTTGGAAGAGGATATGGGTCTTTTGGGCATGCCTTGTTGAGGTCGGTAAAGTCTACGCACATCCTCCACTGCCCATTGGCCTTTTTTACCGTAACAACGTTGGCCAACCAGGTGGGGTAGAGGATTTCTTGGATGCATCCTGCTTGAGTGAGCTTGAGTATTTCTTCTACAACAACTTGACGTCGTTCCCACGCGAAGTTCCTTATCTTTTGTTGTAGAGGGCGACACCCTGGAAGAACCCCCAGGGCATGTTCAGCTACCTGGCGATTAAGTCCAGGCATGTCTTCGGGACCTTGGGCAAGTAGCTCCTTAAACTCTCAGACTAAGTCGAGAAGCTGAGGAAGAGCTTCCTTAGGCCATTAGGTTGAGACGCGGATGGTAAGGTCATCTTGAGTAACTTGTTCCTCATAGAGGTCAACAGGAATAGGGCGAGCTATCTGATAGGGCAAAAGCGTATATCTTCAATTCCTATCTTGTAGTAAAACCGGAAAGTCCGGGTATCGTCTCTCAGGGACTGGTACAACCTTAAGATTTACCGATTTAATAGAGCAAACTATAGGTGAAAATTGTTTAATGAGATTATTAACTACTAGCAAAATTAACTAAACAAGCAAATTAAAGTGTCGGGTTTAAATCAATGGGAGAAAGCTCTGGGAGAAACACCGGGATTCACTACCTATCCTATCCAGATTAATTCACATAATCCAATCAATTTAATACAACTCTCCACAGCCAGGATATCACGAATGTGCTAGCTATCCCTGTCGGGAATTACTACGTACTAAACAATTAAATCAAATCCTACTGTCGTAGCTCAATGACTTAATTATTTAGCCTGAAGATCGAAATCCTATTTAAGAGCGCATAGCACCTTATTTAATCCACTGTCGCTTCGATAAGTTACTATGTCACATGAAATAGGTTCAGTTATTAGGGTTTCACTGTCGCTAGTAACCTAATTAACAACAAATCAATGTATTGGTGGCCAGTCAACACAAAGCATTAAGCAATTTCATGCAATATAGATCGGAAGAAAAGAATCATAAATCAATCCATCAAATCAAGAAATAGCAACATCCTATGGTGTTTCCCCCAGAAATTGGGGTTTAGTTAATGACAAAAGTAAGATAAAACATTAGGGTTTTGTTCATCATGTTCTAAATCAACAATACACAACTAGTTCGGTTTAGAAAATCCAACCAACTAATCGCTCTCGTTGAACTCAGCTCAAGCCTTGGAAAAACAGATCGCCAATTGCTCAATCGCTCTGCTGCTGCTCGCTGCTTCGTGTCCCTGGTTTTTGCTGCGCCCCACTGCCTTTTCCTTTTCAAGAATTTCGTTCTCCACCACCAAAAAGAGAAGTCCGCCCCAGCTCCCCTTTTAGAGATGTCTCTTTTTTTTTTTATCCAAAGCCTCTCGCCCAGAATTTTCAATTATTCCCCTCCCAAAATAATTGCCACCCACCTAGTAGTTGCCCGCTCTATCTCCAATCCGTCCCCTGTTTATTATGGCCGGTCCAACTAAATGGACCATGTCCACTTAATTCCTCTTTCTGGCCCAATTGCGTCTCCTCCCCGAGACAAAGCGATTTGGGCCCAATTAATTGCTTGTGCACTCGCTTCTTTTTCGTGCTTTCTCCACCTGTAACATATCAAACTCATGGCACTAGGCAGTAATGGTTTTTCAATCATTCTCGGGTTAGCGAGCCCTAAAATAGCACCAATTGGCTTAAATATATCATGGGATAGTCACATAAAGTTTAAGAATCCGATATATTAAAGCCGATTATTACAACCCCACACTCAATTGTTGCTTGTCCCTAAGCAACGACTCAAAAGACACAAACACATAACCATCCAAAACAATGACACACCACAAACTCAACACTCAAACACTCAAAACAAAACACAAAATTTTCTTGTACTCTTGTTGTAATCAGTAGTTTCTTTCTCAACGGATGAGTTGTGCTTTATTGATCATACCCTTCACCCCACACTCAAGTTCTTTGCAACCATTACCATTGACTGACTCAAATCCACCAAAAACTCAAATAGCAACACTCAATTCCGATCGTCGGTAGTGGGTGATTAACAACTTATGGTGCAACAATTATTAGGAGAATCTAACCACATCAGTGAGGTGCAAATCTCGTGAGGACAATCTGGCTTACTCACACCAATCATAAGCAATTAATTAAGCATGAGTCTCAAAAACTAATGGGGGAAGCCTTTCGCAAACATGATTTTACTTTAAGCACATCACTACCTTCTATGACAAGGAGAGGCTTTCTCTCTTTCTGCTTTTGCTTGCCGAAAGGTCGTATTTAGTACAAGTGGGATTTGTTTCTTACTACCGGTGACCGAGCAAGAGCAATTTCTGCTTCTTAGCACTCGCATAAGGGCTTCTTTCAACTCCTTTTCCTCGGTCCGTGTGGAGGGTCATTGCATCCTCTAATGGCACTTCACTCAACTGGGGATCGTACTTGATAAGCAACATCGTACGGTCACGAACCAATTCTCAATTGAATCTTTCCTAATCCCCATGTGCAATGAGTGATTGCCTCACACGATTTTGGCATTTTTACCCACACTTTAATTGTTATGGCAACTTTCTTATATTTGACTTGTCAGGTAGTGTTTTCTTTTATGAAGATACAGTTCACCCCATCATAAAACAATCAAAACAGAGAGACTCGTTGCCAAATCAAAAGCTCACAATTGATGCAAGTAAGCACGATATCCAAACATGTCGAATGGTCAATGTTCTCCACCTAACTACTTCACCAAAAGTCATTACACTATCCTCACAAAAGAGAATGTTGCTAATGGAGTTTGCTAATTCAAAGCGCATCAAGTCAGTCAAAACATCAAGCTCATAGTGAAGAACTATGCATCACGATCATTTACATCATGTTACCACAAGAATACAAGGTTTTGTTTTTCATTTTTTTTATTTTTAGGTGTTTTTTAGCCATTAACTTTGCACAGGCAGCCTGCTTTTTACACAAGCAAACTGCATGCAGTTTGGCTGTGCTCAACCTAATGGCAATTTTTTTTTACCGACCACATGACAAAAGGAACAAACAAACACTAAGACTTGCCACCCCACACTCAGGATGGAACATTGTCCCTAATGTTCAACTCCTAATCTAAACATGCACGGGTTTGACACAACAAAAAAGAAGAATAAAGAAAAGATAACTTACCTTGGGTTGCCTCCTAAGAAGCGCTTGTTTAACGTCCTCAGCCTGACGTTTATGGAGCTTTCAACCAATGGGTATGGAAAGGTATCCAGAATACCCTCCCGAGCAATGATAGAACGCATAACCTCCATCCAACATATGAGTCACCTCAGCAGGGCCAGGTGTGCGAAAATTGGGTATGACCTTCTTAACTGGCATGCTGGAACCTTTAGTGAGGCGTAGGTGGTATTGCAGCGCCTCAAGCAAGTACTCTTCTTGTTTTGATGTTAGTGAAGAAGGAATAATAACAGGAAGATTGAAATCCTTACCCAAATATCGATACTTGAGGTAACCTGGCAAGGATTTCTGGCCTTGCTTTGATTTCAGACTTTCACTGCTAGGACATGTGATAGTTCTTTGGGTGGTCCACTATCACAGAAAGAAGAATTTACCCTTTCTCGAGCTCCACTTTCAAAGTCATCAAATGCATCGTGATTATGGTCAACTTGAAAGACATTAAAAATTTCCTCCTCCTTACCTACTCGGAATGTCAACTTGCCTCTACCAACATCGATGAGTGCATCACCAGTGGCTAGAAAAGGTCTCCCAAGAATGAGAGGCACTCCCCGATCTTCTCCATCTCCATAATCACAAAATATGTAGGGAGAATAAACTCCCCCACCTTCACCAATACATTCTCCACCACTCCTTTTGGAATTTTCACTGATCGATCAGCCAATTGGAGAGTGATCCGAGTAGGCTTAAGAACATCTCCCAATCCCAACTTCTTGTAGACTGAGTATGGCATCAAATTAATTCCTGCTCCAAGATCACAAAGTGATTTATCGAACTCTCTACCTCCAATGACACATGGAATGGTGAAGCTGCCCGGATCATCCCTCTTTTCTGGTAATTTATTCTGAATCACAGCACTACATTCAGAAGTAAGGGTTACCTTCTCTAGATCAGCCCATTTGCGCTTCTTAGTCAGCAACTCCTTTAAAAATTTAGCATATGTAGGCATCTGTTCAAGTGCCTCCGCCAAGGGTATGTTAATCTGAAGTTGCTTGAAGATATTCACAAATTTCTTGAAGTTTGGGTCTTCCATGGGCTTCATTAACCTTTGAGGGAATGGTGGGGGAGGTTCATAAGGCTTTACCTCTTCCTTCTTCAATTTTTCCACTTTTTGAGGTACACGGGCAGATTGCTTTTGCACAGGCAGATTGCATGCAGTTTGGCTGTGTAAGTCAGATTTTTCAGCTTTTTCACTTTCTTCCTCTACAGCTGCTTTGCCCTCCTTTTCTACCGGATTTTTCTTGCCTTTGGATCCTCCAACTCCTTCCCACTCCTCAATGTGACGGCTACAACCATGGCGTCCTTTGGATTTCTCTCAGTATTTGCTGGTAAAGTCTCATTAATCCTACCTTGAATATCTGCCAAAGTTTGAGCCATCTGGCCTATTTGCCTCTCCATAGCTAGCATAGATGATTGCATATTATTGTTGATGGCTAGCTATTGAGTGACAAATTGATCAAGACCCTTGAAATTATTGTCTGTTTTCTGCATATAAGCCAAAATCAACTCCTCCAGCTGGGGCTTCTTCTCTGGTTGAGGCTGCTGCTGTGGAAAACCAGGAGGTGGGATGTTTCGAACACCAGCTGGATTATTATTCGACCATGACATATTGGGGTGATGTCTCCATTGAGGGTTGTACGTATTTGAATACATACCACCTTGGCCTTGACTTCGCGGATTATTGATGTATTGGACATCTTCCAACTGAGCAGCTCCCAGTGGACACATATCCCTATGATGAGGACCCTCGCAAAGTTCACATGAAGCAACCTCCTCTTGTCTACCCAGAGCAATCTTGCCCAACCTTCGTTCGAGTGCATCGAACTTAGAATCCAGCTTAGCATCTATCTTGGCTTCTAGACTCGCAACTCGGTTTACCTCATGCAAGCCTCCTCTTCTTCGAATACTGGTCTCACTACCCCATTCAGTGGCTTCTGAACAGATCTTCTCTACTAGATCATATGCTGCTGGTGCCTCCATGCTTGTGAAACCATTTCTAGAAGCATTATTCAGGGCATCCCGGAACTCCCTTCTGATTCCATTGAAGAAAATAATGATCACGTTCCAATCTTCAAGACTATGGATTGGGCATCTCATCAATAGCCCCTTATAGCGCTCCCATGCCTCAGTCAGACTCTCATCATCAGCCTGCTTAAAAGTAACAATCTCTTCTTGCCTCTTCATTGCCAAGGCAGGTGGGAAGTATTTATCCAGAAAGACCTTCTCAAGCTGAGCCCATGTCGTGATAGAACGTGGTGTTAAGTTCTGAAACCAGTGTGATGCATTCCCTATAAGAGAGAATGAGAACATCCGAAGACGAATTGCATCATCAGAAACAGTTGGGCTCTTCATCGTATCACATATGCTCGCGAACCGTGGAAGATGTTCGTGAGAATCCTCAGTGCTAGCCCTTGAGAAAGTATACCCATTGGTGATCATGTTGATAAATGCTGGGGTAATCTCCATGGTTGCATCCCCATCCGGAATGACAACACATGAAGCTCGGGCTCCAGTCTGTCGATTGAAACGATCCCTGATCGAACGATCCTGTTCTGCCATGATGACAGGCTCGATAATGCGAGGTGGTCATGTCGGTGGTGTAGGGATGACAGGTGGTGAAGCCTGTCCTCTCTGTCGACGACTATGGGTTAGGGAAGGCCTAGGAGTTGTGGTTGGCTGCTTCCCTAACTTGACCTGCTTCCTGTTCTGTCGGCAGGTCTTCTCGATCTCCGGATCTAGTGGTAGTAAATCGCCGGTCGTCCTCCTATGCATGCACGAGGAGGATAAACCTGAAAATTCTTCTGCACACTAACACCCAGATCAAAATAGTTCACTCACAAAAATCAATAAAAATAAGGTATGGCAGTCCCCGGCAACGGCGCCAAAAACTTGATAGGGCAAAAGCGTATATCTTCAATTCCTATCTTGTAGTAAAACCGGAAAGTCCGGGTATCGTCTCTCAGGGACTGGTACAACCTTAAGATTTACCGATTTAATAGAGCAAACTATAGGTGAAAATTGTTTAATGAGCTACTAGCAAAATTAACTAAACAAGCAAATTGAAGTGTCGGGTTTAAATCAATGGGAGAAAGCTCTAGGAGAAACACCGGGATTCACTACCTATCCTATCCAGATTAATTCACATAATCCAATCAATTTAATCCAACTCTCCACAGCCAGGATATCACAAATGTGCTAGCTATCCCTGTCGGGAATTACTATGTACTAAACAATTAAATCAAATCCTACTGTCGTAGCTCAATGACTTAATTATTTAGCCTGAAGATCGAAATCCTATTTAAGACCGCATAGCACCTTATTTAATCCACTGTCGCTTCGATAAGTTACTATGTCACATGAAATAGGTTCAGTTATTAGGGTTTCACTGTCGCTAATAACCTAATTAACAACAAATCAATGTATTGGTGGCCAGTCAACACAAAGCATTAAGCAATTTCATGCAATAGAGATCGGAAGAAAAGAATCATAAATCAATCCATCAAATCAAGAAATAGCTACATCCTATGGTGTTTCCCCCAGAAATTGGGGTTTAGTTCCTGACAAAAGTAAGATAAAACATTAGGGTTTTGTTCATCATGTTCTAAATCAACAATACACAACTAGTTCGGTTTAGAAAATCCAACCAACTAATCGCTCTCGTTGAACTCAGCTCAAACCTTGGAAAAACTGATCGCCAATTGTTCAATCGCTCTGCTGCTGCTTCGCGCTGTTGGGATGAATAGCTTTGAAAAGCTATAAATGAAATTCCTAACTAATTATCCAGTATTTTCCCATAATACATAATAAATAAGATGGATAATTAATAAAAGGAATATTATGGAGATAATTAGAAATAATTATCTTAATAGATTATACGCCCCTGGTTTTTTGCTGTGCCGCGCTGCCTTTTCTTTTTCAAGAATTTCGTTCTCCACCACCAAAAAGAGAAGTCTGCCCCAACTCCCCTTTTAGAGATGTCTCTTTTTTTTTTATCCAAAGCCTCTCGCCCAGAATTTTCAATTATTCCCCTCCCAAAATAATTGCCACCCACCTAGTAGTTGCCGCTCTATCTCCAATCCGTCCCCGGTTTATTATGGCCGGTCCAACTAAATGGACCATGTCCACTTAATTCCTCTTCCTGGCCCAATTGCATCTCCTCCCCGAGACAAAGCGATTTGGGCCCAATTAATTGCTTGTGCACTCGCTTCTTTTTTGTGCTTTCTCGACCTGTAACATATCAAACTCATGGCACTAGGCATTAATAGATTTTCAACCATTCCCGGGTTAGCGAGCCCTAAAATAGCACCAATTGGCTTAAATATATCATGGGATAGTCACATAAAGTTTAAGAATCCGATATATTAAAGCCGATTATCACTATCTCTTCTCGAGTGTCGACGGTAGTGACATGTCTATCATTGAGGGAGAATGCACAACATCGCTTAGCGATTGATTGATCCCCTCGGACACAGCCTACTCCAGACGGAGTAGGGAACTTCAATTTGAGATGAAGTGTAGAAGGGACGGCGCGAGTTTTGTGTAGAAACGGTCTTCTAAGAATTCCATTGTATGCAGAGGAACAGTCAACCACGTGAAAGTTAACCAACGTCTCAGTTGTTTGGTTGCCATTGCCGATGTGTACGTGCAGAGGTAGAGTTCCAAGTACTGGGACTTGGTTGCCAGAGAAACCCAAAAGAAAGATGTTGGAAGGCTGACAACGATCCAAGCGAAGACCCAACGAGCAGAAAGCAGGGTAAAAAAGTAAGTCGGCTGAGCTCCCTCCATCAATGAGAACTCGTTTCACGGTGTAATTGGCGATGGTAGACTCAATTACCAGAGGGTCATCATGGGGATATTCGATATCCTCGAGGTCCCGAGAATCAAAAAATTTGGGATCCTGATCAGAGATAGTTGAGGCGGATCCGACCAAAGCTCGGGCGTAGGACTTACGGGAGGTGGAACATTCCTGTCGTAGTCCAGTTCCTCCATGCATGACTGGGACGACACCTAACACCGGTATGCTTCCCTGTGGAGTTTTTCCTTTGTCCGATGACGAAGGTTGTTGGATTGAGCCTTTGGAGCTTTGGATGAACTGCTTAAGTTGTCCATTTTGAATTAGCCCCTCGATGGATGTTCTCAACTTTTCGCATTCCTCGGTTTCATGCCCGTATCCCCGATGAAAGTCACAAAATTGGTTCTTTCCATTTCTTGGTTTTATGCGACCTCGAGGTGGCCATGTCACCGGAAGCTTTTTTATCTTGAATGATCTGGAGAACAGTCCTTCTTGGATTGTCGAGAGGGGTAAAATTTTGGCCTGAATGGAATGGTCCATCCCTTCTGCGATCATCTTTTGGAGCCTTGGGCATGTTATCCAAAGTTGGACGGGGGCGTTGTAAATTTTCTCGGTTCGGCGGAGGCGAATCCCTCCTACGCTTTGGCACCACGTAGGATGAATCTTGTAAAGCTTCTTCTAGAACGATGTACTTCATAACCCGCTCCTATAGCTCAAACATACTTCGAGGAGGTTTCTTGATGAGGGAAGCCCGGAGAAGACGGTTTGTTGTTCGTTGTGGCAGCGTGTTGACAATTACTTCAACAGAGAGGGAAGTGACGCCTATAGCCAAGGTGTTGTACCTAGCATAATAGGCTTTGAAAGCCTCACCCTCTCGTTGCTTGGTATTCATGAGCTGATTAATGCTCACTGCCTGTCGCTTTTGGGCGTAAAACTTGCACTAGAATAGTGTGGAAAATTCGGTGAAGTTGTTGATGATACCATTGCGAAGCTGAGAGTACCATCGACGAGCGTCTCCTCCATGAGTGGCGGGAAATATTTTACACATGGTGGCATCAGAGGCACCAATAAGCGGCATCAATATCTCAAAGGAACTGAGATGATATTCTGGGTCGGTGGTGCCATTGTACTCCGGAAGGTTGGGTATATGGATATTTCCTGGGTATGGCTCATTTAGAATAGCCAAAGCCAGGGGCCGACCGGTACTTGGTTGAGAAAATGTCCCCGCGGGAGGGAGTTCTTCGAAGTGAGGAACAACTGGGGGGACATCCCGGGCCGCTGCTTCAGTTGCTGCCGGTATGCCATTCCGATGGTCGTTAGAGGATCCAGGGAGTCCCGTACTCCCGTAGAAAGTTGGTAGAGGGACCGGTGGTGATTGTGGAGCCTCCGTTGTAGACCGAATATGAGCACGAAGTCGCTCAATTTCAGCTTGCAAATCTTCAACCCTTTGGGATGGCAGAGTTTGCTCAGGGTTTGGACTTGAACCTTGACCGATGTCAACTTGCAATTCTGAATTTGTTGTATCCATCTCGACTGGTTGAATTGGCAATCTGAAGGTAGTAATCTCACCGGGCCCCACGGTGGGCGCCAATTGTTGATGCCAAGCTAAAATAGCCGACCTCGAACGTTGTAGAGTCCGGAGAGCGTTGATCTTTTGGTTGCCGTTGAATTCCAGCTCTCGAGATGAACACCTGCAAAAAAGGACCCGCCGGTTGTGGTCGGCTGGGACCTTCTCCAAAGCTCAAATCAGTATTTGGAAATAACTGGGAGCGGCATATTGAGCCGGCTCTAGGACGAAAGAAAAAGAAATTTCGGGGTTGGAAGTTGCCAATTCGCCGAGAAGAAGTTCTTCGGGAATTCCCCTTTTCCGATCTCGTTCAGAGAAAGTGAGTTCTCTCGATTTGAGATGGATTGCCAAGGAAACATAAATGAGCGTCCTATTTATAGGTGCCTCCTGCTCCTGGCATGGGTGGCGTGTCCTTTATTAATTTAAAAAGATTTTAAAAAAGAACTCACCTTGATGCGTGTACACCTATTTGATCTCATCATACTCACACCTTACGTGCATAACAAATGAAAGGGGATGGGTGGTTTGACTTAGATGGAAGGTCTGCATAACAATAGATTAATAGGATTTGGTTGTTTGGGAATTAAGTTTTCGTGTCTCACTAACATCTATGGGTTAGTAATTAATTTGAACATAATGGAATGGGTTGCTGGAGTTATCACCTTGTGCATTTACGTTAGCTTTGCATGCATGTGATGGTGTATTCTCCCCATTTCTTCATGTGTAATTACAAAAAAGAAAGTAACATAACCAATTTGGTGAGATAATTGGTTGATGGAACACATACAACCTCTTGCTACATGTATGTAATGGGCAAAGTTATCAAGTGAGGGGTTAATTAGAGGGACTAGGCTTATGACTAGGTTAGCCTATATACACGTGTAATCAAAGTGAATTTGGGGTTTTTATTTGTGGGTAAAGGTTGCCATTCACCAAACTAACAAAGATGGCTTGCTCTTCTGTTCCATGTAAATGAGATAGGTGGAGGGAAGCAAATAAGGATTGCCATCCATGTGGAACTATGGTGGTTATTATTATATGTAGGTGGTAGCTAGGGTAAATGGTGGATGGTGATTGTTTTGCTTCCTTTTCACCTTTAGCCACGTAGGTAGTATCCTGTCAATCTTTCTTTATCCTTTGTCCATGTGGAAATAATAGGTTGTGAATGACGATTGGTGGATGGAGTAGAAGAAGTGGGAAGCAATTTATTGGACCCATCAGTTTCCATATACTGGTATAACAAGCAACATCTACAAGTTCTCCACAACTCTAGGAAGAGCAACACACGAGCTGATTAGGGTGGAAGATTTTGCAAAGGCATGGTTCAGGATGGAAGATTTTGCAGGAGCAGAAGAGGAAGAAGATAAGGGAGCTACTGTTGTTTCCTTATCTGATATTGTGTGCGTGATGCAGCCTGATGCCCCTGCTGGGTCATTTATCCTTGGAGCAAAGTTGAAATGTTTGACATCTGAGAGGGTGGAGCTGATTTCTGTTGGGATCACTGGAACCTGCAAAGAAAATATGTTAATGTTGTACATAGTGCACCAAAATGATGGAACAATACAGATTCAAGACCTACCACTGAAGAAGGCTGGCCAACTCCCAACACAACTTGATCTTGTTCAAGATATCGATAAGTTGAAGGTCCCAAGGAATGTGGTGCTCTAAAAAAATCAAACTAAATAAATTTGCTACCATCATCCTACATCTTGAAGCCGAATTCCTGTTGGTCCGGTCTTACATTTGTCCTAGTTAACTAACCAAGTTCGACTCCCAAAATTGTCCGCAAATCTTTATCATCAACACCCTCTTTTGAAATTTGTTGTTGCCTTCTCAAGTCGACAGCCGATAAAGAGAAATAAGAATGTCGAGGCTCAACTAGTGTATAATCTAAGGTGTGAGAGCAAGGTTTGACCTATATTGAAAGACAGACGAACAAGATTAAGAACAAGAATAATCAGGTTGGATTTCATGTGTGGTTCTTACTATAAGCTTGGGCTTCCGCTCCTTTAAGAGGCTAAAAGCAAGGGACAAAAAGAAACAACTTCGATTTATGTAAACACCAAAGCTCATCAACCGTGTCCTTGAGAGAGGGATTAATTGAGTTCAGTAAAAAAAAAAGGAGATGAGAGGCGCTCTCTCCTCTCTCCTGTTTTGGTGCTCGCTCCTCGGGAGCTGGTTTGCTCGGGCCGCCGCCACAATCTTCGAAGCTTGCTGGCGAAATCAACAAGGTGCTGATTGCGGCGAGAAGTCGTTGCGGGGAGCTTCCCAGATTTTGGGATGGTCTGTTCTCCCCGGCGGCACTGTCGTAAGGCATACGCCGGAGAAGAGGTTTCGAAGGGTAGATGGTCGCGAGGCACGGCGGCGCTGCCTGGCGAAGAGATCGAGATTGTCGCAAAGTGCGGAGACTGGAGTCACGGGGGAACAACCCCTAAAGAAAAGACGGAGATTTCTAAAAAGTCAATGGCATTTCTATCTTCCCCCTTCGTCGGAAATGGAAGATTCGGAGGCAGCCCCGTTCGCAGTGGAGAAGCTGCAGCAATTGAATGCTGGGATTGGAATCCATAGCCCTTCGAGGGACCCAGCTCAGTGTATTCCCTTCGGGGAGGGGATTAGTCCCCATGAAGTAACAGGTTGTCGATCGGAGTGTCAATCCCCCTCGAAGGGTGGGGCGTCCGACGTGTCGACTGAGACTGGAACAATGGCTAGACGATTTGCTCGGTTTACCTCCGGCGGCGGTGTAGTTCAGAGGGACGGTGATGAAAAATCCGGCCCCAGCTGTCTGCGGGTAGGACTGCGAGAAAACAGGGGAATCCAAATCGTAACGGTGGAGAGACCCTCTGTTTTGCGAAGCGGATTTCACGGAACAAAGATCCGAAATTCGAATGGGATTCTTACTCTGAGCCTAGGACTTCCTATTCCTAGTAGAACTCTACTTGGGAGAAGGCTCTGGGGTGTTCAATTCCCTCTGGGTCTCTCGGGGCCCCGTCCCTATAAAACCCCCCTGCCAAGTGATCAACAAACATTGTGCAGGGAGAGGATTTGGGAAGTCTGTCCAGAGGAAAAATCAGCCTCTACTTTCAGCCACCAGGAGTCGGTTGCCATTCTTGAGAAAGGTAAAAACCCCCGATCATGGTTTTATTTAACTTGTGTTGGTGGGAGTCGCCGCTTTCCTTTCGGCGGGCTGCCGACTTCTTTTTCAGGCGGTGCGACTGGCGGCCCAAATATCGCCATTATCCTGCCCCAGCCGAGCGGCGGATGGCCGTTTTCTTCGTCAGGCGGTGGTGCGACTGACGGCCAGCCTCTCGCCACCATTCTGCCGCAGCCAAGCGGCGCTGTGGTGCGGCCAGCAGCAAGCCAGAGGGCAACGCTGGCGGCTCCCCTGGTCTCGACCAAACTCGCTCCGGTGGAGGATGCTAGCGCCGCTTTCGAGCAGTGGGCCGGCCCGGTTACTAAGGCCTTCGGGCTCCATCCTCGCAGTTGGGCTTCGGCAAGCAGTTGGGCTTCGGCAATAAAAGTGGCCGAGCTGTTTTCTGGATTTAAATGCATAAAGCCATTTCCTCTTAACATCATATATTCTAGCCCAATGAGAGAAGTGGCCCGCCCTATTGATTCTAACGATTTATCTATCCATCAATGTCATGTGAGTACGATGGCGCGAATTGCTGAGGATCAAGTGGTCGAATTCTCGCTTGAGGAGGTCCAATCTGTGAGGTTTCGAACCTCGAGGACTCTATTGGGAAGGCTCTTTTCGGAGACTCAATTCACTCCCGCAGAACTGAAAGAGGGGCTACTTGAAGCGTGGCGTGTAAAAGGAAACCTTAGGGTTTCACTCACTCAATTCGGTTTATTTGAGGTGGTAATGCCAAGCGATGACACAAGGGTTTGGGCCCTCAAAAGAACACCCTGGATAGTCAAAGACAGGATTTTCCATCTCCGGTCTTGGACGCCAACCATCTCGAGGCTCACCTTTGATGAACTAACCATTGCCCCCTACCGGGTTCAACTCTGGAATGTGAAAGATGACTGCTGCACAAAACAATTCGGCCGGAAGATGGCAGTTGGGACTATCAGTCAGGTCATGGAAGCAGATGTCTTTGCGTCCAGGGAGACAAATGAGAACTTTGTAAAAGTGCTTGCTCTCATCGATTTTACAAAGCCACTGCGGTCCCAAATCATGGCGGTGAGCGCTGAGCTTGGAAAATTTTGGGTAAATCTCAAGTATGAGTTCTTACCGACCGTCTGTTTTCACTGTGGGCGAGTGGGGCACTCCAAGCGCGACTGTGTTTTTGATCCTCCTTCGGGCAAAGAACGCTTTGGTCCACATATGTCAACAAAGAAGCTCGGAAGAAAGATATACATGAAGGAGGATAATTATCCTAAATTTTGGGATACAAGCAAGTCTGTGTGGGTGAAAAAGAATGTTCAGTTACAGAATGATGGAAGTGCAAGGACTGGCAGGGGTCGAGCAGAGGAGGGACCAAGGGAGACTGAGATTCACTATCAGGGTCCAGGGAGGCACCATGTTCGTAACACAAATCTGGATGGTCGGGCCAGTAAGACGACCCAGCCTCGGCTGCAAGAACCAGAGACCCAGTTGGATGGGGATCGTAATAGCCCAAAGGGGTTTAGCATCAAGAAGTCACCTGAGATTAAGATTGGTGGTGGGATGCGGCAATCGCAGCGGAAGATGTCGCCCAGCAAGAAAACCCTTCTGCCGGGAAAAGGTTCTAAGAGCCGCCATCAGCCTTCTAGGCATGTGAAGCAGACTTCCCATCACCGACAGGTGCCTGAACCAGTGGAAGTAATCCTTGAGCAATCCCGTAGACGTAGAATGATTTTGCTGGAGGAATCAGAGGAGGAGGAGGAAGTGCTCCCTGCACCTCAAAAGAAGAAGGATGGTCTGGCATCCAAGACAGGGTCGGGGAATCGGGCTCGCCCACATTTGAGAAAAGGAGGAGCTAGTGGTCCCCTGCCTATATCTACCCAGGATGGAGGCGCCAGTCCTGCTGGTGCTATTCGGGATCTGGATGATAATGAGGTTGGTGCAACACTTGGGGGTCCAGAAGTTTTGGCTCATCGACAGGTCTCTGACTCTGATGAAGAACCATCGTTGGGTGATCCTCTTTCCTTTGAAATCAAGCGCCGCTCACCGGCTGGAGGCTCTATAAAGACCCCTCAAGTCACGAAAGGGTGAGTACATAAAGTAGTGGAGGCTTTTGAAGCGGGGCTTAGCATTGGCCAGGCGGTGGAGGATACATGCCAGGGAGGGAGCTTGATATTGAATGAATATGGGTCAAATCTGATGGCCCCGCCCATGGAGAATCGTAAACGTATGCTCGGGGAGGTTGAGGGTGAGGTGGGAGATCCTCCTACCCCGAAGATACAATTTGTGGAATCAGCGGATGATCAGGAAAAGGTGGAGGAAGCTAGCCTCGAGTGGCCCCCGGTGGATAAATGAGGCTTCTGGCCTGGAATGTGAGGGGGATTGGGCCTACCCTCACCTTCCAAACTGTTTTAGGGCTTGTGAATTCTAATAAACCGGATGTTGTGTTTTTCTCTGAAACACGTTCGAGCCGGCGCGTAGTGTCCCGTCGCATGCGGGGGTTAGGTTTTGATATTTCTCATTGTTTTTTTGTTGATGCAGTCGATGCATGGGGGGGGGGGGGTTAGTAGTTGCTTGGGCCCCCGGAGTTGTCACTTCGGTGTTTTGTTATTCCAATTTCTACATTTGTTCGCAAATTAATGAAGGAGAGTTTTCTTACTTGGTGTTTTTTGTCTACATTAGTTGTGATGTTGCTGTTCGGGCCAATCAATTGGCTCATTTGCGTGATGTTTGTGCGAGTATTCCTCACCCTTTTGTGGTCATTGGAGATTTCAATACTACCCTCTATGAGGGAGAGAAAGATGGGGGTCGGGCTTGGAATGCGGCTCAAGCCATTAGCCTTCGGGAATTTGTTCATGATTTAGGGCTCCACGATCCAGGATACCAAGGGGACCAGTTCACTTGGACCAACAAACGTATGGGGGCGGCCTGCATTCGAGAGCGGCTGGATAGGGCACTTTGCTCTCAATCCTGGATTGATACTTATCCTGAGACTTTGGTCAAACATTTCACAGACCAGGGTTCGGATCATCGTGCCCTCATTCTTGCCGACAAACCTTATACTCGGAGTACACGACCCCTCTTCCGGTTTGATGCTCGCTGGGCGGAGAACCCAGAGGTTAGGGCTATGGTCCAGTATGTTTGGCAGGAAGAGATACAGGGAACCCCTATGTTTCGACTATGGGAGCGTCTAAAGAAACTCCGTCATCTGCTCTACGATTGGAGCAGGGCGGGCACGACTAATTCCCTGTGCAATATCAAGACTCTTCAGGCCGAGATTGAAAGGATAAAGGCTAGCCATCCGGTGGACTGGGAAGCGATCAGGTTGTTGGAAACAGAACTTTCTCGCCAATGGGAAGCGGAGGAGATTTACTGGCAGCAGAAGTCAAGAGTAAAATGGCTGAAAAAAGGAGATCAGAATTCTGCCTATTTTCATACGGTCACCAGGGCAAGGCGGAAGAGGAACTTTGTTTCCGGGCTTCGAAATGAGGAGGGAGAATGGGTCACTGAGGAAGTCGGTAAGGCTTCTATTGCCTCTACCTTTTACCAGACCCTGTTTACCTCGGAATCTCAAGTCCCTAATATGGCTGAGAGGGTGGCGAATCTGCCAATTATCCAAAATGTTACACCGCAAATGAATGCGCACTTGACGGCGGAGGTTTTACCTAGTGAAGTTCGGAATACGGTCTTCTCTATGGGATCGAAGCAGGCCCCGGGATCGGATGGATTCACGGGAAAGTTTTTTAAAGCTTTCTGGGATA